TAATAATGTATTTATTCCTGGCTGTGCAGGCATGGATAAATTATCATTTAGATTAAATAAATTTGGTTTATGATGAATTCGCATGGTTGCTGTCATTCGCGAATGTCGTCATTGGGAGCAACCTGCTAACTAATCACTCAATGGAGCATATTGAGAAATATAGAAATATTTTTCTTGCACCAACAAAAATCTCAGGTCTGTTTTGGATGGATCACAAATACCTGGGAAAAAATAAAGCTTGAAGTCAATTCTCCTTCGGTACTTTGCTGTTTACGGCATTGAAACTTATTACTGACTTACAGTCATATGGTGTGTTAATTTAAGGTGAGTAGTACATTTATATAATTTCTTCAGCACTGTAATCTTACTGTACCCATCAGAATTATATTGTGTACATTACAGACGAATAATGGATGTATCCAGGCAGAGTTGTTCCACCGCATCGGAGGAGCTATAGCTCTCCCAAGTCGGCCATTGCCATCCTCTGTAGCTGCACAGTAGTCGGTACGTCTGAATTGATAGGGGTGTAGAAAACTTTGCAAACCAGTCGTATCTTCATTTTAGGTCATAAATGCTGTTCGTACAGAATGTTATTCAGTGCCCTTTTATGGTTGCCGGGAAACTTTTGAGGATGTTGAGTAATCATGACCTAACAGCTTGAAGGATGATGGGGTATATGTACGTGAGTAGCTTCCATTCCTTCTCAGCTTCATTCTTACTGTAGGTCTGTGCGATAACTACTAGATGACGAATAGGAGACACAGGACAAGCATCAAAATACCAAAAAGAGAAAAGTATTTGGATATAAACAGCATTTTAATGCCTACGTATATATGTGTTTATGGTTATTGTACATTTATTTCTAGTAAGTATATATATTCATTTTCTCTTGGTCTTTTTAAACGTATATGCAACTTCCTTCCTTATCGTTTATGCAGGGTAATTAGTGAAGTCTTACATGTTCTTTAGACATTTAGTGGCCCTAATATTTGATTCTTTTCAAAGGGATGAACTGTTCCATATTTTAGAATACGTGACTGTGAGGTGTTTTCATGGAGTAATGATTTGAAGGCTTTTATTGTTACTGTGCGTGTCTAGCTACGCAGATCAAAGCAGACTTCAAGTGAGAATAACAACTGTTCCGTCTAACCTCACACTTTTAAACACTGAAGTTGTAATTTTGTATGCCATTTTGCATCCTGCGTTAATTAGATCGTACCCTTTTCGTTGGACCACTGCGAATTTTTCTTTTGAATGTACATTTTTGTCAACTGCAAGCCATTTTTGATTTTACTCACTGTGTTCTTTGTGTTTGGATGCCGGATGACCCTGTATTTGAAAGTTTGGACCATGTTTATCTGACACATTTTGTTTAAAAGAAACCCTTCCAGTTTTTCAGCAGCTTGTTACGAATATAATTCCCTCTACTACAATTTGCTGTTTTTGGATTTCGTCAAGTCTATTACGAACAGTTTCGTTTGGCTTCTGAATTTGCTCGAAGACTGAGAGTCCATTCCTTTATAAACTTATTCATACATTGGCTGTAATAACAAAAACCTGGGGGTGTTCAATACTTCATCGTCTTCCTTCAGATTTATCTGTTTTGCGTAGAATTGCTTTTTCAGCCCATTACGTACCTTATTCATCTCCACTGTGGAATCTTTGACCATCGAAGTGGGAAATCCAGAATTTGTTCCCAGAAAAATCTTTGTTCGACCACTCCCTCACTCGTGGTCCCAATCTACCAATGTTAGATTACTACCATTCAGATTTCTTCCTTGACCCTATTTATTTTTCATTTCGTTTATCCAGTTTGTATTTCCTTCCTTCATTACACCAATTATTTGTACTGATTTCTCTTTGAGCAATTTTCAGTCCTATCTCTGTGTTCCCCTTTATTTGTTTAATTTGGTATAATCTTTAATATTTTGCCTTATCACAGTTATAAATTGATCGTTTGATGTTTTAACTGCCTACTATCCCTATTTTTTCTACGCCACCCTTTTTGAGATTGATATATTTCATGAACTATTTTATAACGTACACAACCAATTATTTTTATCGAAGTTCACATCATTGTTAAAAATCATTTATATCCTGCTATGCAGGTCGATCATGAATTCGTTGTGAAGACTCTTCACTGAATCACTTATTTCTATTTTCTACCTTCCCTAGCAGCCTTGAAAGCCTTGCACCTACCATGATGGCTGTCATTATCCACAAGTCTTTGACCTTTGAGATGATGTGATGTTCACAAACACTTGTCTTTAAACTTATTGTCTGGAAGAAGCGATCAACCAAGAAGGAAGCCCCACACAGGTTGTTTCTCAGACATGAAAAGCCCACCGAGAATTCGACATCTTTTCACGAGGTTCCAGTCTTTGTCATCGCCTCAAACAGTGTCCTTCAATTCAATTATGGTCGTTCCGGAGCTGTCTGATATTTAATCCATAACATGAAATTGTATCAAAAATCACGTGTTATCTCTAAATGTACGTCTGTTTGAAATTAACCAGCTGTAATAACAACAGATTCCACCTTCAAGGTGAATTAACAGCCATATGAGGCCCACGACCTCCATAAAAACTGAAAGTGCAGCTACGTGTTCTCCATTTTCATCTAAAGTCGTACCTTCTCTGCCTACTTGTTTTGCTTTCATCTATATGTCATTTGGCTAATGTGACATCAGATAAAAATAATCTTGGAAGTCCGGATTTTCCAGTTTCTTTTTGTTGATCCAGCGTATGACCGTCTTCGTTTTTCACACGGTCTCTTGCGTGATCCACTTCACCTATGATAGTAGACAGCCTAACCTCATCCCTACCTTTACTTCAAAGGCTTCACTGATCTTGCCGTTGTGAACTACTTTTTGTGTGGCACCTTCAAATACCCACTGAATGAGGTTGATAAGAGCCAGGGTCCGTTTTCGACGCTTGTGGAGGAATTCTGTCTAGTCCTGCTACTTTTATAACTTTCAGTAAACTTGTAACATTCAAGACTTAAGCTCTTCTTAGAGGATTTCTACTTAATAGCAGTTCTGTGTCTGTTGCTGTGGTGGTTGATTCAACAGTCCCTTGAAATGAGTAGCCCGTAGTTTCTTTTCCCCCTCTGTTATACGTGTTTCTCGCACTATCTTTCATTGTTTTCACCTGTGTTCTGCTTCTCCTGCGAGTGTTTTGTAAAATCATCCATCATCACGAATAGCACTGTTTTCCACTTGTTTATTCAGTGAGTCATAGACTGAATTCAGCTTCCCCTTTCGTCGTAAATCTCTGCATTTAGCCATCTTCCGTTTCACCATCTCTCTCTTCTCTATTAGTTTTCAGATGTCCACAGAAAAGCATTTCTTTGTTTGTCTCTCCTTTCTCCACGAGATGGTTGTACGGGCTTCCCTTAACTTCACTCTCTGTGAATTTTAGTATTCTTCCACACACCTTGCCTCAGTGGCGCTACACAGTATCTCCAAGCATGCTGTTCTGGCTACAGTTAAAGTGTCTTTTGTAACTTCATTCCCAGTTTCTGAGCATCGAATTTAAAGAATGTTCTATCTACAGCTTCTTTGAAGGCCTTAACTGTGAGGACTCCATGGCCTAAATAAGGGTCTAAACCCTTTTGTTCTTTTCTCGATTTTGGGTCCGCTAGTCTTCATATCCACTTTCTTAAGGTTGGGTTGAATTTCGTCTGATTTTCACTTTGCGTAAGTGGTGAAAACCGTACCGCCTTATGGGGGTATTTGTGCATGTGCACTTATATCCCTTTAATTAGTGAAGGCTCTGAAGAGAGTTTTACGTCCTCAATCATTTCACCGGGCACCTATAAACTCATGTCTGCTCCTAGCTTGACTCCTATGCATATAATCCATTAAAATTTTGATACTGCCATCTGGGATAGTGCCCTTTACTGTTCTTAGATGTCCGTCGACGTCTTTCTTCTTCTCTTAGTCTGCCATGTTTGTAAAATATTAAATAACATTGAATGACTGAATTTTGGAGGTTGTTTCCCACTGCACCAGAGCTTTTATTGAAATCATGATGGGTATACCCTCAGTGCGTTCGTGTCAGAGGTCTGGGTGGCCGCAATAAAGTATCTATCCTGCAGTCAACATTCTGGACAGTCTAATTAAAATGCATCTGCTATTGCAGGTTCCTAGCACTTATGTATAATATCTCCCCATTTCGTTGCACTCTGAGCAGCCTTCTCAGCCTCCAAAATCGTACCGATGTTGTATGTTCTCATGATTGTTTTCACCTTCATCAAGAGCATAATCATCGACCGACTGGCCTCCCTTAATTCTTCCATATGCCCACGCTACTTAGTACCACGGATTGCAGCGAGGAAGTTTATTTATTGTATGTTTTCTATCCTTCGGAGTTTCTGTGGTGATTGGATTGGTTTACTTGGGTAGGGTCACTAGCCCATCCTCTTTCTATGGACTCAGGACTGGTTAGGAAACTAATTGGGACCATTAACGTTGGAAAGCCAGTTGAAATTCTCTTAGGGACTTATTCACATTAAAGTTGGCTTTGAAGATGTTGTCTAGAAGCACAAATGAAACTTCTCAATTAAACATCCCAGCTTATACAACACAACCACAGAAGAAACATTCTCAACAGTTACAAATCCTTTTAGTAATTTCAGAACCGAGACCCTGTCAGGAAGTCGGATAAAGAGAAGAATGTTTTGAGTACTCAGTCAAGACCTAGTCTTTTACGTGGTTCTCCATCTTATGAAGATGATTTATATGAAGTTTTATTGATATATGAAGTTTTTTGGTGTACAAGAAGTATATTTCCAATGCAAATAGAACCACTTCGTATTGATATCTGTTCTTAACTGACCGATTTGAAAGTCCGGAAGTGGAATATAGGCCTAACGAAAATGGTATGAAAACAGAATCCAGTCCTAACAGCGAATTAATTCTTCTTATCCAAATTTCATCCATCAATTTTACATAAATCAACATAGCGACAAGCTTCATTGAGGGGATATGCAATAAAGTCGCTCAATCAAAATCACTTCCAATGAAATACTGAGCGGAGAGAGAACTCATTTTGTATTTCTGTAGTGTTCATTGGATCTCCAAAGGACTGATGTGGAGTTAAGGTAAGGATATTCTTGTATCATGAGGAAAACCACTTGCTCAACTTGATCGTCTTCGCGCGCGTAGAATGTTTAAAAGCGGTGTAAGTTCATGGTATGGTAATTTATGTTGTAGTTCTTCTTTACTGTTGGATTTTACTGTGGAGTTTTGTTTCAAAATAAGTACAAGGTAAGGATATGGCGGAATTTCGATGACTATTTTAGATTGAGAATGTGGCCAAGCCAACGGAACTTGGTGAAAAACTTTTAACGTATGTACAGGAGTTACTAGAACAAAAAGGTGGACGGAAATAGCTGCATGTAACGTCTCACAGATATATGTTTCTGCTGGATGCATATTTGTACTTTCAGAATGAAGAAATTTAGTGCTGAACACTTCATTCTGTTATTTCTCTTATTATGTCCCTGCCGCATGTTCATTTTGCCGAAAAATATAGGAAATATATCGTCAGAAAGTGCATTTTTCATTTCTAATTGGCTACTCAGTGCTCATAACTTTTCAGTTGTATCCGATCCACTTGTAGATGATGTTGATTTAGATGGGAAAGTTGATGTTTATTTTTCTACAGTAGATGGTACACTTTATGGTATCAAAAATGTTTTCAAATGTATCACAGAAAGAGCATGTACCACATATCATGGAAACTGGCCTATAATGCATACCAGTGAAATATTCTTTTCACCTCCTCATTCAGTAAGTTTACACATTCTGTTCATCGGTGTAATATCTTTCTCAATATAGTTTTACCTTTAACTAGTGCTTTAAACAATGTCTCTAGGAAAATCGGCACTTGTAATTCATTCGCACGAACTTTTGTCTTCTTTCACATTTTGTCGCTATCCAAATATATTTTTCAGTTCAATGTAGGTATACAAAGTCTGTGTAGCTTTCGCTTAATATAATTGTCATTAGTAATATAATTATTCTAATTTTGAAATTCGTTCAATAATAAATACCGAACATAAGCTGTGGTTTAGTGACATCTAGATTTCACTTGTTTTCAACACCTCAAGAGATACTTTACCTTCTGCGCTTTGTAGTGTGTTAATCATTATCTCGAGGTTTGTACATTTAGTGCTTTTACCTGGTCAATACTCTAATATGTGGTGGCGAAACTACAGCGTGTGTTGTCCTAAAGTAACATTTTCTGTATATAATTGACGTAAAATAGTAATGGACTGTCATTCGACTTAATTTTCTCGATCCTGAAGACTTTTTTGTATCTCAGTAAAAGCATTTCATATGATTTCTGGTATAGATGTGATACCCGACTATCGATCAAACGACGTGCGGCGTACTCTGCAGAAGTTCTCTCTGTCCACCTTTATGACTGTGAGAAATGGCCATTGGGATTGGAAAATATTAAAAGGCTAGTTGTCTGTGATCATACGTCTGCGTTCTATGTCTCATGTTAAACTGTATAATGCTGTGTGTAATATTGTGGTGAGACGTCGAGTGTTAGGTAAGTACAGCAAGTCATTTGACAGGGTTGAAAAGCTACATCGATTGAGTTAGCTAGGAGATGTGTTATATATGCCTAATCATCAATTTCCGTGACAGATAATGCTAGGTGACATCGGATCAAGTTGGAAAAGAGCTAGTGGTTGTCAAACTAAAACTTGGGATGAGTTCATGAAATCGTTGACAGTTAGTTTGAGCCAGCAACGTAGGGGTGTGTGTGTGGCTAGGATCCTCAGAATTCTAAAAACTAATGGTTGACGACTGTCTGTAATGTTGCTTATAATTATTTTTAATGGCGAAAATCCATCCACTCTCCGTGATCTGCCATATCCATCGGTATTTTTGATTGGACACTAATCAGTAGCTAGTGTAATGTGTCTAGTCCTATCTTCGGTGCAGATTGAATTCTATCAGTCAAGCTTGCAATGTGGCCGCCATGCGAACCTGAATAGCTCAGTGGTTCGAATCTCAGAGAAGTGGGACATGAGTTCCTTCAAGGTTGCCGATACGCCTTGCTGATGAATGCCAACTAGCACGAAACCTAAGTGCATGGCTTCCTGTGACCGATTGCCTCGAGCCATGTAATACCAACAATATCCACCGGTACCCTACTGTTTTTCCATGTCACTATTCATTCTCCCGTGCATTTCTGCTTATCATCATTCTTGCTAATCTCTTTTTTCCTCTCTTTGTGTTCTACATGGTGCGTGGCAACTCGCACTGCTGCACTTCTGTGCAAAGTTGTAAGTTGAAACCGGTCAGTCAGTCAATACACCATTGGGGAGCGAGGTATTTTATGAAGGCTGTTTCAGTAGCTGTATATATGTTTTGGAAAATTTCTAAACTAGCTCTGGATAAAACTGACTTTCTGCTTGGGGGGGGGGTGCATTTCTGGCCAACACACCTCACTATCCTTAACACAGTTTCTATGCTAATCTGAAGATACTTCCTCGTGTTATAAGTCTAATAGAAATCCACCAACTTGGTTTTTCAGATTGTTCACGTCTGTCAAATTTATATGAGGTATTGTCATTTAGAGAAGTTTTCTGTGTGCATGCGTCATAGACCACTGGCAGATTGTTTGATTGAGATCTTTCTAAATTATTAAAAAAAATATGCATTACCAGCTAACTGCCAACTAATCTATCAGTTAAAATAATGAGCTTGATAACTCCATAGTATAGTTTTGTTTAATTCAATGGATACGTATGACTGTGGTGGCCACATTGCATACCTGACTGATAGAATTCAGTCTGCACCAAAGAAATGACTGGACACGTCACATTAGTTACTAGTGTTCAATCAAAAATACCCACTACAGTCCAAAAGGAGGTCAACCTCGAACCCGAATAGCTTAGTGGTAACGTCTCCGACTGCAGGCGGCACTGGGTGACGCGGGTTCGAATCTCAAAGGGGTGCGACATGAGTTCCTTCAAGGTTGCAGATACACCTATCTTGCTGACTGGTGAGTGCCAACTAGCACGAAACCTAGACTCAAGGCTTCCTGTGACCAATTGTCTCCAACTATCTAATATTATGTATGATTGTATTGATAGCAAATACATAAAAGATAGAATGTTTATTTTTGCATTAAAAATACGAAAGCTTGTTTCGTAAGGTGTGTTATATCATATCTAATAACCAGGGGATTATTCCAAAGTTGAAGGCTTAACTTATCAAAGTATAGTTCAACTTCACATAGATTTCGCCATATTTTGACATTCTTCTTCTGTTTCCCTTTTTATGTGCTATTTCAAAAGATGACTGACTGATTGACTGGTTGAATTTCAGCATTGAACTTTGCACAAAACTCCAGCATTTGGAGTTGTTGCATTCCATGTGGCACATAAAGGTAGACGAAAGTTCCATAATAAGCAGAAATAATATTAACAAAGAAAAGTTCTAGGGTTTAATAGATATGTGAGATCATAGAGAGTAAAGGCACTTGAACCTAATGAAAAGAATTTCGAACCATATCATCAAGAGTCTCAGGTCATTCGTTCTTATAATTCTTGCTATCTGAACTAGGCAGTTTACACCCCCAAATCACCAGTCAAGCATTTCATGGGATGATTCCGAGTTTCGGTTTGACCACTCTTAACTCTTTTCCAACACAGTCGTATGCCAGTTAACACTCGTCAATGAGGAAGATGGTGGCTGAAAATGCATGACAGCGCATGTCTTAACCATGTCAGTCTGTGTAGCTTCACAACTTCGTCGACTGACTTGCCTTCCGTACCAACCAGTCTACGGTTAACGTCGATATATTTTACCCACTATATTACACCATTTAACGCCAGGTGATAGAATGCAAATATTTGTGTTCAGATACAACTAGCCTTTTCCTAATAGCCACTCCTAATGGCTATGTCTCGCAGCCATAAAGGTGATAAAGTGAAATACTGGGCAGTACACACATCCTTTGATCGATAGACGGATATCATGTCTATGCCAAAGATGGCGTTAATTACCAAATGTCACAATCCTTTTTATCTTTACTGAGATTTCTTCTGCATCTTATCTTTTGAAGCTGATAGGTAATATGCAATCAAATTAACTAAATATAACATCTTAGATGTTGTCTTCGAAGTCCTACCTCCATTCGTTGAAATGCCTATTTCGGACTCGTCAACAGGATGTACCTGCACTTCCCAGTGAGTGATGGTGTTCTCACCGAGGCTCGAGCCCAGTGCCCACAGTTTCAAACGCCAAGGCGTTATCCACTAGGCCACTTCGGCCACGAGAGCCACCTTTTCTGCAGCGGGCCTTGTTAGTTATTTAATTCAATTTGAATTTTCCCGTCGATTAATTGTCTCCATTCGCTGATTTTTACCATTCCAAGGACCCCAACCAGTCAGTTAAGAAGTCTTCATCTCCTTACGTGGCTGTCTGTCTGTCTGGCTTGAACTGTTGTGGATTTCATTGGCTGATGAAGCCATGTTTTGGTTTGACCACCACGTGCTAGCTCCTCTCCAACCCCATCCATCCATCCTATGTCAGCGGTTAACATTGCCCATTGTCGAGGAAGGTGATGGTTGTTTAGGACTGCGTGCGTAACGCATGTCTTAACCATCTGTCTCAATGCGTGCAGATGCTTCACAACGTCGTCGATTGATTTCGCCTCCTTATCTAGCACTCGACTGATGCCTAACCTCAATATTACTCACCTTATTATACCACCACATAACACGTGAGATAGAAAGCAGACATTCATGATCAAAGACAGCTAGCTAGCTTACCTTTTCGTATCTTCCACTCTCAATCACATTGTCTGACTCACAGTGGTAAGGGAGGATGAAGCGAACTGCTGTGCAGTACACACGTTGTTTGGTTGACATCTAACGGGATATCACGTCTACTAAGTCAGAGATGGCATAAGTTGGCAGGCATATACCAAACGAGCCTTCTGTATCCGTGATGAGATTTCGTCAGCGGTCAACTCGCTAGCGTTGGCAGATGCAACTTCTCGAATAAGTTATGTAAGTGGTCAACACACTCAACCACTTCACTCCTGTGTATCTTTAAGTTAGTAGTCGGTGTGGTCCACTCCTGTAGCATCATCTTACATTTGACAGTAAGAGCGAATTGCATGCCAAACACGCGAAGATTGCTGCTCAGATAAAGGTGTTCAGAATACTCTGCTGTGTTTTGTCAGTGTCATCTCCTAGAAGGACTATATCATCCTTATATTCTAAGTGAACAAGATTATTTCACTGATGGTCAACAAGTCAATCCCTGAGTCACTGAAGTCACTTAGGGTTAAGTCAATTAGTACAATATCTCTATGGTGAACTTAAACAAAAGTTATTGGCACAGTAGGCATCCCTCGCTGATAGACACCACTGGTTGTCACCACTTCAGATGACAACTCTACATGGGCTCTCGTCTGACTGTCTGCATGAGTTCGGTTAGACTGCCTTGATCAATGCGATGTATTTCCTCGGTATTCCGTTCACAGCCAAACATCGCCTTAGTACCTCTCGGTCGACGGAATCGAGTGCCGCTTTCAGGTCAAGTGATGGTAAGACCTCGTTATTTTTCCTGCAATACAGAGGTTTCTGGTGGATGAGGCCTTTTGAGGTTCAGATGTAGTTTTAAGTAACGTAGCATCTATTGTATTCTTATTAATAAAACAAACTTGGTACACTATGGGCACCAGTAAATGCACCACACAAAATCTCATAGTTTGTGTCAGGTCTGAGATACAGCCCGGACAACCGGACCGACGTAGGTGTTGGTTGTCTTCACGGACCATCCCCGCCTCAAGCCTTTGACTTAAAGTTTCATCTACATGTCAGTGGAGCAGTGTAACGAGCTACGCTCCCATAGTTGAGGCTGATCAAAACAGATTTATATTACTATTCGGTCCTTTTGGGTTCTGGAAGGGTGTACACCACAGGTTTAGAATCAGGGCTTTCTAACTGCCCTAAGTAGGCCAGCATGTCCATTAGTCTGGTTGTAAGCACCATACTTTCTTATTTACCCTTTCGCTTTTGTGAGAAGTCAGTGGATAGAACTTATCTAGCAGGAGGTTATGAACGCTTGACCACATGGAAGTATTTCGAGAGGAATATCGAAGTTTACCCATCCTTGTCTCAACTAGGTCGTTTATGTGAGTGACGAAATCCACGCTGAAACTAATCCGAATTCCTACAAAACCTACAATCTAAATACCAATTTTCAGCTCATTGTTGCCTGCTGGATGGATGCCCTGAAATCGTACTGAGTAGTCGTGACCAGTGTGGTCCACCATGTCAAGGTGAAGTGGATGCTGCTCATTGGAGGCATTGATTAGCGGTGCCGCTGTATCATATGAATCCGCAAAAGTTAGAGTTTACAGGTCACTGAATTCTCGACGAAGTAGCTGAATGGTTAACGTGCTTAGCCTCGTAATCTGGAGGTTTCAGGTTCGATACCTGTTAAGGTAGTGTGTGTACACTGGTAGAGAGTCTCAAACTGGGACGAGACAACTGTCCAGTACTCCTTGTTGGTAGTTTTCAAGGATTTCTAACTGGTATTGATTAATGATGAGATCTGCACTGAAATTGATCCCTATCTACCTATACAATTTGTGATCATCTAAATACCCAACATAGTAGAGTAGTAATGAATTAGGTTACTTATGGTTTTACATTCTCCCTCTGTGAAAACTGTAGAAAAATGTCATTTGAAGTCTCACCACGAAGTAACTTCAGTTCGAGAACCAGTGAATACCACGAGTTGTTTCGTTGCTTGTTTGGGACTCTTCATCAGTATTCACCCATGACCCCTTCTGCAGAGATTGAACTCAGGACCTTCAGGTTAAAAGGCCATTGGGACGGAATTTATTTATTCTGCCAATCCGTGGTATATAAGTTCGACCGTCAGCCAATGTCCTCACATACCAATACCGAGTGGACCTTGTTGTGGTGGTCATAACTTTCCGCTAGAACCACAGGCACCTTCGTCCTGCAGTAGTAGCAGTAGTGAGTACTAGATTTATATTTTTGCAAGTGTTGGTTCCCACGAGGCCCAAACATCTACTGAACCACTCACTGTCCAGTACTCTCTGTGGCTTTCAGCCGCCTCTCTATCTGAAGTCAATTCGTGGCCAACTCTAAAATCAATTGAATATCTGCAAACCAGCGGGGTTGAAAATTTTATTTCAAGTAGATTTTCATTTTTACTTTCTTTTATTTGTTGAATTCAATAAGTCGCATTTTCCTTTTTTTTTTCTTCTGAATTATCTCTCTTATTTATTCCATTAAAAAGGTTGACTTATACGGGAATGGTGAAAAGTTGATCATTTTTACTAGTCATCATGGGACAGTTTTTGTTTATGATCATCTTGGCAATACAATATCACATTTTCAAGTAAGTTCTATTAGAATTAGTCCAGTTATTTTTTGTTTTTGTTTTTCATTCCTGTCTTTATCGGTCTAGGAGAGGTTTAAGAGTGTGTAGGTGACCAGGAATCGAACCTCAGGACATGTACTTGCGGCTGACGAGTATTCTGCTCCCTCACTCAAATGTTACTTTCAGTTGGGGAAGAAATAGGGAAATTGCAGCATGTTCACCATTGGTTGTGATTCTTGGCCACATTTGATAACATTATAAGCCACTAGTTCGAACTATCTTTCGGACTCTTCAACCAGGGAGTGATGATTTACCAGCTGATGCTAACCTAACGTAAATATCCTTCATCCGGTGGCGCCACGTCATAGACTGATCACCTCTCCGCTCTTTCTATACACTATCAGCGTTAGCGAACAGTAGTCGGTACGAAAGCCTCTGGGATGACGTTTGTAACACATGTTCAAGCCACCAAAGCCGGTTTTTCCACATGACGACACTCGATAAGTAGTGACGTCCACCTTACCTAAGCACCACGCTACCGAACCTTAAAGTCATTCACACAATGATGGACACAAACAAATTCTATGGAGACAGCAATGATCGAATACTCAGAGTTGCCAGACATCCTCAGTTTGGAGCAATACTAACAGCCAGGCAGGCTGACGTCACGACAGCGCCATAGGTGGACCAAGTTTGGCGTATGCCACCCTAGCTTTCATCATACGTTTAGAAATTTCATCAGTCACACCTCCACCATCCATCACACAACTAACCATACAACGTGACATCTTGAAGCAGTTCACCTGTATGGGTGAGTGCAGATACAGGCTCTTGCCAATCTTACGATAGTTCTGTGCATTTAGAAGGCACAGAGTACATACCGTACTTACAGACACTGGTGGACTGATATTTACACTGCTTGAACATATGTCTTTAGTATTAATATGATTAATAACTTCATGTGACTAATTTATTGGCAGTTTCGTCCCTCGCTTGGGACTCGTCAACTGGATGAAATGTTATATTGATAAAAAACAAACAAACAAACGAATCGTGAATGAAAATAAAACTTATGAACTGGTTTCCTTAGATATGGGTAGATTTTTGATTTTGCCCTTACTGGCGCTATAGTAAGTGTAGGCCTTTGGCACTCCGGTCGAATGTAATTACATATTAGATAAGTTTATTTTAAATATCACACAATAATGATATAGTATTAACAACTGGATATGTGCTGGTGAATGCAATGTAGTGCAATGGCTGAGCTGTGTTGTTTCTAGGTTATTTAACTTACTCAGCAGGGTCACTTATTCTAGATCTAGCTAAATTTTTATGTTCCAATAATCTAGTTGACCCTGATCTACTAGTTTCATCGCTATTCAATTGACCTCACTGACAGTCATTAACTGCATGGTATTTGGTAAATTATACTATTTTTCTTAATTAGATCTATTGAGTCCTTAAGCTGACAAAGTTTATCTCTGAGAGAGTTGGTTGGTTTAAATGCCACCCTAACTAATTCCAGGCTCATTGAGAATCCTACGTAAGGCCTCCGATGGCATTCCTTCTTTATACGGCAGTGTTACAGAGGCTTTGAATTTCATATCATTTTCGTCGGCTATAGTATTCTAACATTCATGGATTAATAACCGTAGAGTTCGAAGAAGAATTTCTTGAAAACGACAATTTTTCACCTCAAAACTGTTTCTTGTTGTCACTAGACAATGGAGAGAGAGAGATTTAAATTACTAAACAGCATAATAACAAAATTTTTAAAAAAATATTTCTTATTCCATTACGTTCCCAGTGCTGGAGCATAGGGCTTCAAGCTAGAGGCGTGAAGTTTCGGTAGCAGTGGTGTTTATTTTTTACAGGATGGGGTTGTTAACCTCATGCCCAACCCATCGTCCTTACCAGTCTTGTTACTGGCTTAGTGAGGTAAAGGAGTGCGTCTGTGGCCGGGGATCGAGTCGCGAACCACATGAGGCGTGGTCAGCAAGCATTCTACCGCCGTGCCACCGACGAATAATAAAATTAGAATATTCATGCATTTATTCCCCTTGATGAATTTGAATAAAGCAAGAGCAGCAGTGGTTTGTGCAGAATAATATGGTACCATCATTTATTTCGTTGGCTTCTCATCAGCTGCTTACAGCCTAAGTAAATTGTGAGGTTTACATACAGAAAAGCTTTAACATACTTGCAAATTTTTTCATGATGTCAGTTGACAGAAGGTTCCGCAGTTAGTGAACAGTGCTCATAAAATTGCGCTTATATAGTTTTTACTCAGGCAGTTCAAGTTTAAACAAAATAAATGTATGCATACAATGGCAAAAGAGTTACGTAACAAAGACGACAGATGCTGAGTGACTAAGAAATTAGGTAACAATATAGTGAGTTCAGCTCAAATCATAGAAACAAGAGACAGTCAAAATTACACTCTATCAAAGTGGGGTGAGGTTAAAGCCAAAGATTGCATAATCAAATGAAAGAAATAAATAATAACGACATCCAGTTACCACCAGGGCAAGGAAACACTGACTAATAACTGCTTCCTTCTCAAGACATAAATCTGGTTTCAAGCGTTTGATAGAAATTGCTTCGGCAAACTTGAGGAGAATCGAGCTCCTTTGTCTATTGATAATTTTAAAGGATTTCGCGATTTCCAACTACCTCATGACCCGTTATCGAGGAGATATCGAGTAATAGCGCTATATTATAACAGTTTGTTCCCTTGAGATGTAGGCTTTTCGTTACATGTTCTGAACATGATACCATATTCTTCTTTTTCTTCACAAACCACTGTTGTTCTTGCTTTATTCAAAATTAGAAAAGATTATTGAATAAAAAGGTTTAAAAAGTTTTCCGTTTTTTGTGCATAAATTTTGAAAAAAGAATTTTTTGTTAGCAATTAGATTAATGAAAAAAGTAATAAGTAATTATTTTATATATTTTCATGACATATTAATTCATTTAGATCCCAGACATTATTCTTGATCGAAATGCTTTATTCACTGAAAATCTTGATCAAAATTTAATGGATTCCATACGATGGGCTTCTGTGGACGATGATGACAGGAAAAAGGTATGCTGGTTATTTGTGTTTCAGTTAATTTCAAGTATTAGGTCGAAATGTTCTCTGTCTGTCTGTTTGTCTGTCTCTCTCACTCTGGATTGACATGTCAACAGATTCTAGAATGGATGCGCTTCTTTGACAATCAATGTCTCATAGTTAACCAGATATTATTATGTTTAATCGACGGTGACTTACAGTAGAGATACTCGTTTCGTCCTATTTGGGACTGACTCGTCATCTGAATGTACCTGCATCCCACACACAAAGTGAGTGATGGCGTTTTTCGCAGTAGGGAACAGACTATTCACTTATCAGGTTAAGAGGTATGTTCGTTGTGTGACAACGGATGATGATACTGTTCGGTTATCTGACTGCTAAAGTAGTTTGGGGTGGGACTCGAACGTGTGACCCTTCGGCTGAAACTGACTGTTTAAGCCAATGAACCGTACCTTCATCCTAGATTCCAGCACTAGTTACCTCCATCAACCAAGTGATAGGGTATATTAGTTAGTTATTTAGTTATTTGATTGGTCAATTAGCCAAGTTAAACTTTAAGCACCAGTGACTACCAGTGGAGTGCGCCGCACCAATGACCTTGAAACGCTCACTAAGCGAGTCAGTGAAACCTGGCAAACAGTGTTATCCTCATCAATAAAATATACTCATCGAAACCAAGGGCAAGTTAGGGTTAGGTTAACCGAATAAAAGCGACATTAGGGTTGGTTCGAGTGAGATTACAGTTAATTTAGGGATATTCTCACGTTAGAGTTAGGTTCAGGAAAGATTAGGGTTAGAAGACCTAGATAATAATTACATGCATAGAATGTGGTTAAATTTCTCTGTTGATGATGTAAGAATAGAAATTGTGCACTGTGGTGGTAGAGTATAATTCCATTGTAGGTAACATTTATTATGATAAAGTCTCACAGTGTTAGCTTGTACGTCAACTTAGCAACTCAAGAAGATTAAAGTTCATCAAATTAAAAACTTGCTTAGTGAACTGAGCTCACGTAAATTTATAAATGTAGCTGGAGATGACATAAGCAGGGTAATTATCCAGTTTCGATTGGTTTATAGAGTATGTAGTGCTGTATAGTGTCACCAGCTTAGCTGCAGGTGGGAAGCATCTTTTCTTATTGTTCCTTTCATTCTCTTGTAAATCTTTTGTGATACTGTTTCTCCTTTGTATGCGAGGCGAATGAACACTTTCTTCTTTTCAGCTGTTGGATAAATAGTTTTCTCATCTTTTTCTTTGCTGTATTATTATTAATATTGTTCCCTTGGGTTCCTAGTGGAACATAGGGCTTCAACAGCACGTCTCCACTTGCTTCTATCTTCTGCTGTACTTTTCACCTGAACCCATGTTAATCCATACTGTTTCAATTCCTCTTCACACGATCTCCTCCATGTCACCCTTGCACTGACGTCCCACTCGCCGCTTCCCTTTCGGGTTCCACTCGAGCTATGGCCTGACGCGCGATGTCACCTAGCCAGCGGCCTCCTCAGCCAGTGAGTGTCCAATCCATCTCCACTTCCTCCTGCATATTTGTTGGGCGATTGGTTCTTGCTTTGTTTGTTCCCATAGTTTCTTGTTGGTTCTTGTTCTTTCCGGCGGTCATCTGATCTTCAGTATAGAACGAAGACAGATGTTGATAAAGGTCTGCAACAGGCTGTTGGAAACACTCTTAGTGACCCGCCAAGTTTCTGATCCGTATAGAAAAACTGACTGACTTGACGTTTGTATTGAAAATCCGAATCATTTTGTTGTTGATGCTGAGTGACAGCGGAAGATTTCCAGATTGGTTTCAGGTTGATGAATGAGACAATGTTCCCTAGATAAGTGAATGAAGTAACCTCTTTCAAATCCCTCCCGTTGATGGTGATTGGCGCTGGATGTTGCTGCTGTTGTTGTTGTTGGTTGGTTATTTTCATGACCTCCGTCTTGTCTATGTTCACCTGGAGTCCTGCCGTTGCTTCTTCTTCAACCAGTTTGTCCGTTTTTTACTTGTAAGTCTTCGATTTTGTGTGACATCAAACATCAGTCATCTGCGAAATCCAGGTCTTCTAGGTTCTTCACATCGGTCCAGGATATCCCTGTCTTCTCGTTTCCCACTGTCTGACGCATAATCCAGTCCACCACAATTAGGAATATCATTGGTGATAATAAGCACCCTTGTCTGACTTCTGTCTTTACTCCAAACGCCTCGCTGAGTTTTCCGTTATGGATCACTTGACATGTGCCGTTGTCGTACAGCTGTGCTGTGCTTTAGGATAAATCCCTTTGGATACCTATTTTTCCTAAGGTATTTTTCAACAAAGCTTAATTCTTCTTCTACCTTGTGTTAGGCGAACATAACTTCCTGGCTGTGTCGTACAGTGTCCTTACTAATCTTCGCTTATAGCCTAATAGGGCAGAAACTGAATAATAATTTAATTAATTCTCTTTTTTTGTTTATTTTTTATATATATTTAGAATCTTCGTTTACATCCATTGGTTTATGGGACTCCTCAGCTGCTAACAACTATTATTAGTCCATTATCAGAGAATATAGAAGATGCTAATAATTTCTTGTATACAACTGATCTCATTCATATAGCGGTTAATTTTATCACTTATCCATATGATCCAATAGCTAGGAATGAATCCACATTGGGAGTGCTAGTAGCAACTGTAGTCAATATACCACGATGTGCTTTACTGCAGCCCAGTTTACAGATAAATGATGCCGATTCTTGTCTACCGCATTTTAAAGTGCTAGAAGTTGATTGGGTAAGTGATAACTGATTATTATTATTATTATTACTATAATTCTTGTTCACAAAAGTTTTGTGTTCGGGGGTCATTCGAGAAAACACCCGAAAAGCCCTGTGGTAACGTTTCTTAGTGCTGACAAATTAAATGGTGAATATGCCGGTGCGGGTTCGAATGGAATAGACATGAGACCTGTTGCTTTCAAACACGGATTGCTATCAGTTAGAGAACCAGTGAAAACCACTAGGGAGCACTGGACAGTCTAGTTTGGGACTTCTCATCAGTACGCACCCACCTCAGTGGGGTTCGAACCCCAGGACCTTCTGGTTACAAGGCAAGCTAGCTCGTAGACTACTAAGCCACTGAGACCCAATCCAATGGTCAGTCCATAAATTCGAACTTCTACCAGTTAGTAATTTTAGTGTGACCACCAACCAATGTCATTGGCGGGAACCCTCTCCTCACTCTCGAATGGATGGACCTCACTGGTCATAACTTCTCACTAGGACTCCAGGAGTTCCCACCGATGGCATTGGTTGGTGGCCGCGCTAAAATCACGAATTGGTAGAAGTTAAATTTCATAGGCTGATCATTGAAACGGGTTCCAGTTTTTGAATGGTCTACGAGCTAGCTTGCCTTGTAACCAAAAGGCCGTGGGTCCGAACCCCGATGCAGTGGGTGCGTACTGTCGATGATTCCCAAACTGGACTGAAGAAACAGCTGTCCAGTACTCCTAGCTGGTTTTCCAATGGTTTTCTAAATGATGTCAGCTCATGATGAAGTCCTCCAACCAATCAAATGAAATTCCCACGAAACCAATATTTGAAAATATATCAGTTTTCTGTCTGTTTTCAACATAGAACTTTGCACCGGTTTGCAGCAGTTCAAGTCAACACACTCCCTCCATGTAGCACACAAAGCAAGAGAAGAAAGTAAAAAGAAATACAAAATAGAGACAGTAAACAGAAATATAAGGCAAAAGGAATAGTAATAACGAAGGACAATATAGTTTCATTGGTAATTATAAGTTGCAAAGAGTGGATACATCTGCGCCAACCATTGATTACGATTTTGAGCCATATCACCGATTGCCTCCAGTCATTTGTCTTTATTGTCCCGAGGACCTCAACCAGTCAGGTAGTCTACTACCTTCCTGGTTGGCCTAAACTAACTGTTGTGGATTTCATTGACTGATGAAGTCATGTTTTGCTTTGACCACCACTGGCTCTTTTCCAACCTGACCCTATGTCGATGAAGGTGATGGCTAGGGATGTGTTGAACATGCCCTAACCATCTCAGTCGATGAAGCTTCACAGCCGCGTCGATTGATTTCCTCTCCCTCCTTACCTAGCACTCGACCGACGCCTAACCTCAATATCGCTCACCCTATTATACCACCACTTCACACGGGAGATATAACTCAGGCACCTATGATCAACGACAGCTAAGTTCTACACTTACATTAATGTCTGAATTTTCGATTTCAATAGCCAAATCTTCAGTAGAACAGATCAATTGGATACGTAACACTTTGGACAGATTATTTTTTGCCATGTAGATAACTAACACTTAAAAGGAAGGGGCTATAGGAATGAAGCGTTGAGTATTGACCAACTGTTCATTTATTGCACTTCTTATAGTCCCAACTCCACCTCTTTGTTATCATGCAGGACAAAACCTGCGTTGAATGAACGACCGATTTATCTAGCTCTGAATAGAGAGTTAGTCAACCGCAGAATCTTGTCCTTCAAGTGGTGGTGGTGGTGGTCGACAAAAAAACGCACTGTGCTCAGCAATGCTTCAGCAAATTTTCTTTTCCCAAGCGACTGTGTGAGATTTCTCTTTTTCAGGTGGTTAGCAGCTAATTCACCTTTGGATTCAAGGTTCCTAATTAGCACTTTGTTGGTTACAGACATTAGGTCACAGTTCGTATGTTTTAAATGTCTGTTAGCTCACAGCTAGACTGTACTAAGATGAACAGCTTTCTATCAGGAATTAGCAAATGGTCTTCGTCTAATGGTCTGTCTTAAACTAAATCCTTCCAAATGTCAAACTGTTAATTTCAGTTTCCGATGTAAAAGAAAGTTAAACGATGAAGCTGTTGGTTCCTATGACCGTTGCAAAATTGATGATAGTGGGGATATAGAAATCAAGTCTGAAGTTAAGTATCTTGGATTGATTCTTTCTACTGACCTATCCTGGTCTTCTCATGTCTTAGCGATTTCAAAAAGAATATTTCGTCTGACTTTTCACACTAAGAAGTTAAGGCACTCAGGTATAACTCAACACCTTCTCTTACAGTTTGTCAACTCGTGCATCTTACCTATTCTTCTTTACTGTTCATCCTTACTTATTCTTTCCTGGATTGCTTAAAAAAGACTGTCAATAGGGTGAGTTGTTTCCCATTGGGCCATATCATTGACATCGTCAATGATAGGCACTTAATTTCATGCAGTAAATTCGCTAAAGGAATTTCGTCAGACTGTGAGCATCCACTTTACCCGCAGCGCCAACCTTGTGTCTCCTCAGGTAAAACAAGAGGTCTTTTCAGAAGACTTTATGCACGTACGTCTAGTTATAAAAATTCCACTATACCATATTTAGCAAGTACTGTATGTGATGAAAATAGTGTTAGGCATGAACTAACTATCTAACCTTCTTTGCACTAGTAAATAAACCATTTTCTCCACCCTTATAACATCAACCTGTATTGTTATTGTTCGTCTTATAATTATAATCCTCTCAGCTTTTTTTAAATTAATTTTTTCATAAGTGTGAACATCATTTAAGCTGTGTTATAACTGTTAATTTTGTATTTCCCCTCACTATATTATATCAACAGAACATTCGATTCAATAATCTATAACATGCTAAAATTTCCAAACTGAATCGACAATACTGTTTGAAACAAACTCACTGTTATTATTATTATTAGATTTAATACTCTCAATTCGTGCTTCGAATTTTTTTGACTTTATACCGTAAATGTGGACAAATTCCTCTGGTTAATTTTGTTTTAATTTTTCTAAAGTTTGGTTTGTAAGGATTAGTTATGTTTTACGAGTTGATTACGGACTGATATCAGTTATAGAACCATTGAAAACCAGGGAGTACTGGACAGCTGCTGTTTCATCCTAGTTTGGGAATCATCGGCAGTACGCACCCACTGGGATTCGAACCCAGGACCTTCCGGTTACAAGGCAAGCTCGTATACCATTCAGCCACTGGGACCACTGCCGATGATTCCCAAAACTAGGATGAAACAGCAGCTGTCCAGTACTCCCTGGTTTTCAATGGTTCTATAACTGATATCAGTCCGTGATCAACTCGTAAAACATAACTAATCCTTACAAACCAAACTTTAGAAAATTATTCTGATGCTCGTTAGTGACTTGCTTCAGGTTGGAGCTTCCTGGAGTTCTAGTGAGAAGTTGTGACCAGTGAGGTCCAATTAGAAGTCACGTGTGTGGATGGATGTCCCACCAACGACAATAGTTGGGGTTTTAATTTTTAATTTTATTTATATTTTGAGTAAATCAGATGCAAGATATTGTGACAAATGCTGAGAATTCCATTCTGTATTATATAAGTACTGTTTTTGGAATAAAGTAGATGATTATTATCATTATTACTATAAAACATGACAGGTATTCATTTCTGATCAATGCCTTTCTTAGAAGACTTGACTCTTCTCCTTCAAAGTATCAAAATTCTTCATACTCTGTGTATTCCTGTCAATTTTATTGATTTATTTTTTGTTTTTTGTTGTTGTTTGTTTTTATTTTGCATTTTATATAGTTATCGTCTAAAATGCCACCGTATATCTTTTCATCGCCGACAATCAGTGCTAATCTATTTGAAGAAACCCGTGTGAAAGAGTATTACTCACAAATTCATAGTTATTATAGTTTTATAACTACATTCAGTGGAAAACTACACGTCGTTAAATTATCAGCATTGATTAATGGAAAGGAGAAAAAGAAGAATAAGAGGAAGAAGGGAGAAAGGAGTGCTGATGTTATTTCAATTGCTTATACTTTGCGTATTACTCCAACATCTTTCTCAGTAAGTAGTTATGTATTCCTTTGGTTGTAAGTTATTGTATTATTATTATTATCATTATTAACATTTCTTTGGATTCCGGTCAGGAACATACGGCTTCAGCAGCGGCAAATCTTCATTTCATCCTGTTGTTTACATTCCTCTTTATTTGGCTCCTCGATTGCCCATAGGGTTTTATCTCCTTCTCTTCCTGCTTCTCACACGATGCTCTCGAATGTGAACCTCGGACCGCATGCTCAGTTGGTTGTTTCTTATTTGGGTTCCACTTGAGAGCTTGGCTGGAGCATGATTTCAGTTAACAGTCTCCTCAGCGTGTGTCCGATCCATCTTCATTTTCCTGGGCATATTTGCTGATGAATAGGTTTTGGTTGGTTTGTTACAAAAGTCCCCTGTTGTTCATCTCTTCTAGTCGACCATTGGATCTTCAGTATCGAGCGCATTGATCAAGGTATTCTACCCGAACTCACGCAGACAGTCAGGGGAGAGCCCATGGATAGCTGTCATCTGACGTGGTGACAACCAGTGGTGTCCGTCAGAGAGAGGTGTTCAATGTCCTCATAACTTCGGTTTAATTTCACCAGATATATTGTGCTAAATGAATTAACCTTAAGTAACTTCAGAGACTTAGGGATGGACTTGTTACCATCAGTGGAATAATCTCGTTGGCTTAGAATATGCAGATGATGCAGTCCTCATTCTAGGTGTAGGGACGCTGCCGAGAGTCTTCTGAATACCTTGATCTGAGCAGTAATCTTCGAATGTTTGGCATGCGATTCGCTTCAGAACTGAACTGGACTACATCGATTACTCCTAGATTAAAGATAGGCAGCAGTGGGGTGGTAGAGCGTGTTGACCACGTACTTCGCTTATCTGGGCAATTGCTAACGACAACTGGGTAATCACTAACAAAATCTCAGCACTGATATAAAAGGCTCGTTAGTCATTTGCCTACCAACTTACATCGTCTCCTGCTTAGTAGACGTGATATCCGTCTAGGTGTCGAACAAAATACGTGTGTAGTACTCAGCAGTTCGCTATTCTACTTTGTGGGTGTCTGTGAGCAGGACATAGCGAATGAGAGTGGAAGACACGAAAAGGCTAGTCAGCTGTCTAGCTGTCTTTGATCATAGGTGTCTGCATTCTATCTCTCGGGTTTCGTGGTAGAATAATAATGTGAGCAGTATTGAGTTGGTAAGGCATCGGTCGGGTGAGTGCTATGTAAGGAGGAGGTGAAGGGGAAATCAATTGACAACGTGAAATAGCTGCACCGATTTAGACGGGTGGTTAGTACATGTATTACGCATGCATTTCTAGACATCCTTCACGTTCCTCTACAATAGGCAATGTTAGCTACCTGACATGGGATGGATGGATCAGATTAGAAAAGAGCTAGCACGTGGTGGTCAAACCAAAACATGGCTTCATCATTCGATGAAATCCACAACAGTTAGTTTAGGTCAGCCAGCCAGCCACGTAGGGAGGTGGTTGAGTTCCTCGGGATGTTAAAAACCAATGATGGCTGGAGACAATTGGTGATATGGTTGGCTCAAAGTGGTCGTTCTCAATGTCTGGCTGGCGCATATGCATTCACTCTTTGTGACTTGTCATATCCAATAAAACTGTATTGTTCTTCCATATTACTACTATTCTTTTTCCCTCACTCATACTTGTATTTATAATCTCTCAGTCTTTTGAACTTCTCTTTACTCTCTTCTCTTGCTTTGTGTGCTACGAGGAGAAAGTGCGGCAACTCGAATTGCTGGACATCTGTGAAGGTTCTACGTTGAAACCAGTCAGTCAGTTAGTATTGAGCGAAGGCAACCGTAGGTATATATATATATATACATATATATATATATATATATATATATATATATATATATATATATTAGGTGAATGATCTTTGAGCAACCAATACAACCTGTTAATATCTCCAACTTGACTTCAGGGTAAATTTTATCACTAATTGACACCGGTTAGATTATCACATGGCTATTACACTTAATTTTTTGCTAACATGTTTAACTGGCTCAACAATCGCTCACAAGCTCTTCTCCACAGCATCCTCGGATGCATGCCTGATCCATCCCTTTTCGATTCATGTTCCACTCTAGAGTCTGATGTGTAACGTTACTCCTATATCTCTTCAGCGTATGTCCAATCCGTTTCCAATTGCTTCTAAATATTTCTTGGGTAATGGGTTTTCTTCTGGCTGCCTACAAGAATTCCTTGTTGTGAGTCTTTTTCGGACATCCTGAAATCAATCAAATCCCTACAAACCAACAGTTGAAAAGCATTTCCAACAGGCTACTGCAGGTTTTTATCGACATTTGCCTTCTTTGACTGCATGCTGAAGACCAGATAGCCGGCTGAAAGGGATAGGCACAAAGGGGGGGGGGCAACAAACCGTCCAAGAAGCTACTGCTCAACAGATATGTCGAAGACAATATAGATGGATCGGATATATGCTGAGGAAACCGTTGGGTGATGTCACGCACCTGGCGAATCCTCGAGTGGGACATGAATGGGAAATGAGGAGTTGGGCATGGGTTTGAGGGTGAGAGCTGTTGGGCACTCGTGGGACTCGGTAAAAATGAATCCAAAGAACGGGATGAAATGGAGGTGTACTGTTGAACCCCTAAAGGAGTATTCATCAATAATAATAATAAATTTTCTCCATCTCTTTTATATTTTCTTAGTGTATACCGTCACCGTGTCCAAGAGATAAGACAAATCAAAATGTTGTATTTCTCCAGTCAACTACTGGTGTACGTTCTTGTTGTCTTCTATTGGATATTCACTCTTGTCTACGTCTTGTGCATATTTTACCAATGAGAGCTTATAATCGTCATCCACAGATTTATTGGACATATTGTCCCATAGTGGCATCATCATCATCATCATCATTAAATGTCAGTCATGAACAAGTCAGTCAGGTAACAGTTGTTCCCGGTTGTCAACAAATGCATACATGTTCACCTTGGTCAGTGTATACAACACCAGATGGGTAAGTCCTTTGTGCTCTGTCACTTTGACCCTTTGTGTGTGTGTGTGAGGTTTCCTTGTTATCGATTGGTAAATTTTGTCTATCTCGATGTGTCTATTGATTGATGATTCACTGGAATACCATGCAGCCTTTTTAAAATTCTCTAGCATTCTGGATGTTACCTATGTCTAATATTTGAACTCTGGTTGTCCTAGTCGAATTGTTGTCCGTGATTGTCTGTATGCAGCTGTATGATGGAGTGGATGTCATGTCTTTTGATGGCTAGTCTGTGTTCATGGATGCGAGGAAGACGAAGGGGACGTCCACTTTGGCCAATGTAGTGCTTTTCGCAATTGTTGCAATTTATTTTGTAGATGGTGTTGATTATATCTTCTTTTGTTGTTGAGTCTTTTGGTTGACACAGGGCTGGCTGAGGGGAGTGATTTTGTTGGTTTGTATGCGACATCAATTCCTAAAGGTGTTTGAAAAGTCTTACAGTGATTTCTGAGATGTCCTTTATATATGGTAGGGTGATTTTCTTTGTGCTTTCCTTGGCGGCCTTTAATTTGGTAGGTTGGCTTGGAGATATATGTCTTTTGATGAAATTCCGTGGATATCCATTCTTTTGGAAGACGTCCATGAGATATCTTTCTTCAATTTTCCTTAAGGTGGGAGTGCTGCAATGAGTCCTGGCCCTCTTGAATAGTGTTTGTATACAATTCCTTTTGTGTGTTATTGGATTGTTGCTGTTGCAATTCAGTATTTGGTCCGTGTGAGTTGATTTTCTATAAACTTGAATTTCTACTTCTCCTGTGGTTGTTCGCTTGACTAAGACGTCCAAAAATGGATTTTTGTTCTCGGATTCCTCTTCTCATGTGAATTTGATGTTGTTTAACACGTTGTTTATTAAGTTGTGAGTTTTATCCACCTCTTTTCTTTTGATTATTACAAATGTGTTGTCTACGTAACGTATCCAAATTCTGGGTTTTATCTTTGGTAGGATTATGTTTTCGAGACTTTCCACCACTGCTTATGCAATCAAACCTGATATTGGCGATCTCATGGGTGTTTCTTTGACCTGCTCAAATATTTGGTCGTTGAATTGGAAGTACTTTGTTAGGCATAGGTTTATGCATTCCATCAAACTTGTGCGTTGCCTTTTTGATTGTTGTGGTAGGTTGTTGTCGTTGCTGAGTAATTGCTCCATGGTCTCTTGGATACACACAATAACAACCAAAGAGTGACGTTCAAGGTCACCACCTGTCGGGAGAGATGACTAATAAATTCGTGTAGAAATCTAAAAGCTCACTTCAATTCAAATTGAAGTATACGCTGAAGATGTCGCCTAGTTGGGCGATGAAAACTTCACAAATTGACTATCCAGCTCAGAGAACACACAACCATACCAAAATGTCGATTGCTGAATGTGGGGCTCATCGATTTTCAGCCAGTGCACCCAAACCACCACCATCACCACCTACTTTATCCTAGGCAATCAGACAGCAGCATCATCACCTTGCACCCCCTCCCCCGGCTTGAAATTTCAGTCATTTGAATTCTAACACAATGGTGAGTATATATTATTTTGTTGCTCAGATATTCATCTCTCTCTTGTTTGTTGTTTTGATTTTACAGTTATGCACATGCTATCGACATAGAGACTGGACTACCAGCATCAGGATATCCGATTAACCTGTATGCTGGATTTCCTAATGCTACAGATCTATCTACAAGTACAGGATTATTATATCAAAGAGAAGATATGACTTATTGGATGGTAAGTTAGTTTAAAGCTTTAATATAGTATGCATTCAACTGATTGGCTACTGCTCACAATCATGCTTTCTAGCCAATCAGATTGGAAAGTGATTAAAATACCTGTGTTATGGCCGTTTCACTGGTTTACACGAGCCGCTGTGCTCATCAGTGGTGTGCCCGGTTTGAATTACTTCAGAGAGAAGCTAGGTGAAGGCTTGCGGCGAGTTGTCATCTGAAGTGGTGACTATTTCTGTTCAATTTCATCATAGACGTACTGATGGACTTAACCCTAACTCACTTCAGAGACTCAGGGATTGACTTATCACAATCAGGGAATAATCTCGTAGATATAGTGCTCCCACCTGTGTGAACACGCTACCGAAATAGAGCAGAGTCTTCTGAACATTTTGGGCTGAGCAGCAATCTTCAAATGTTTGGCATACGATTCTTTCCTGCTGTCAAATGTAAGAGGATGAGGCTACAGGACTGAACTGAACTGGACTACATCGACCACTTCTAGCTTTAAGACAGACACGAGTGAAGTGGTAGAGCGTGTCTGACCACTTCATCAAAACATGGTTTCATCAGTCAATGAAATCTACAACATTTAGTTTGTGACAGACAGCCAGCCACCCACGTAGGGAGGTGTAGACTTCCTGACTGGCTGGCTGGCTGGTTAGCATTCTCGAGATGGTAAGAACTAATGATGACTGAAGATAATCGGTGATATGGCTGGCTCAAAGTGATCGTTCTCAATGGCTGGCTTGTGCAGATGCATTCACTCCTTGTGATTTATCATATTCAATAACATTCTTTCTATTGTTCTTCCATATTACTACTATTCTTTCTCTCTCACTCACTCACTCACTCCTTCTTCTGTCGATTATCTTTGTCTCTTTTGAATCTCTCTCAACTCTTTTCTGTTAATTTATGTGTTACATGTAGGGAGTGTGTGGCAACTCGAACTGCTGGGGATACCTGTAAAAAGTTTTGCGTTGAAAGCCAAAAGGCAGTCAGTCAGTGAAGACTCCTAGAGTAATACAGGAGTTATAAGAACAAGTAAACAAAAGTCAAGTTAGTAGAAATCAACACGGCTCTTACCATGATATATATATATAATTTATGTGCAATAAAGAAAGATTGTTGAGATGGCGGTTGAAAACAATGTTATTTCACTTACATGTGTGTGCAACACACAGCATAGCACTGTGCATAAAACGACAGAGTTTTAAACTATCTCATAATGCGTGTAACACAAAAAGGTAGATAAAAAGGACGAAGGGGGGCCCGAAGATGGAGAAAAAGATATTCAAAGTAACTATAATAAGCAGAAATGTATGTGAGAAAGCGTATACTAACATGAGAAGAACATTAGAGTTAAGTTGATTGGAGAGATTATAAAGAGTGAATGTGTATATGCGTGCATCAATGAGGGAACGATTTCGAACTATATTTTCAATAGTCTCTAGTTCTCAGTATCCCAAGGTCGCCAACGGGGGGTAGTGTACACCTCTCTATGTGGTTGGCTGAAACTAGCTATCGAATATTGCATGGATTGACTTGAGATACTTGTGTTTGATCGTAATCTTATGCCAGCTAATATTCTTTGGTTAGGAAAGCGGTGCCTTCTCATGTCAAACATGTGTTCTAGTCATTTAAATCAATATCGCATCATGACTTCATCGATTGGCTTACGCTTCTTATCTGACGATCTTCGTCTGACCTCAGTATTACTCACCACATTATTATTATTATTATTATTATTATTATTATTATTATTATTATTATCGTCTCCTTTAGTTCCTTCAGGGTTTCAGCGGCATATCTCCATTGCGTTTGTTTCTCTGCCAACGTTCTCATCAACTGGTTCCACGTCTGCCCACATGCTTTCATCTCTTCTTCGCATGACCTCCTCGATGTCTCATCCCATTTGGGCTCCACTCGACCAATGGCATGGCGTGTGGTATCACTCACTTGATGATTTGTTTTCTTAGAGTATGGCCAATCCACCTCCATTTCCTCCTGCATATCCGTTGCACAATTGGTACCTGCTGGGTTGCTTCATTGTTCCCAGAGATATCTCACTATTGCTGATCTTTTCTGGCCGGCCATCTGATCTTGAGCGAAGACAGCTGTTGCTGAAGGTGTGTAGTTTGTTCGAAGTGGCTTTCGTGACCCAAGTCTCTTATCCGTATAGTAAGTAGCACTGACTAGATTTCACATTGGAGTTGAAAATCCTGATCGCATTTTCCATGCTGAGTGTTGATCTACACACAGACTTGAGAGGAATGAAAGCTGGCCTTGCTTTCCCGACCGTCTCTGCTTTGATATGCTCATCAGTTCCGTCGTCCTGTAGTTGAAACGATGCTTCCCAGGTAGGTAGATAGATAGGTAGGTGAAGGATGTTGCTTCTTTCAGATTTCTCCCATTTATACTGACTGATTGTTGTTTGTTGTTGCTGCTGTTGCTGTTGGTCAGAAATCTTCATCATCACCTCTGTTTTCTCTATGTTCCCCTGAAGTCCTGTATTCTCTGGATGCTTCTTCTATCGCCAACTTGTTGCTTTTCATCACTTGCATATCTTCCAGTTTGTGAGAAATCAGACATATATCACATCGGAGAAATCCAGATCCTCCAATTTTTTGTGTGGGTCCATTTGGTACCTGTCTCCTGGTTACCTGTTGTCTGTCGCATCATCCAGCCAACTCACCATATGACGCCATTTAATATTGAGAGATAGAATACAGACATATTGTGAATTTCTCCCGAAAGAAATCCGAAACGATAATCCAAACTATAGATTTAACCACACCTAGAGTGACGCGTGAAGTCCGAAATACAGGATATTCTGCAATACGGCACTTTATTACATAAAAATAGATATATAATATACAAACCTCAAAATGTGAGGTGTCTGTGGCTAAATGCCGTCAAATGCACAACCACTGTGCAGTCAATAAGTAAAAACAGCAATGCTGTGTCAAGGTCGATCCACGTGTCGGTTCCAACGGCCCGCGAATGTCAAGCAAAGAATAAACAAATATGAACAAACAACTTTCAATAGTAAAGCACACACTATAGGGTAAGGTCAGTAAATAATGTTTAAGGAGAAGAAAAATAAGAACTATACATTAATAGAATGATAATAGAACAAGTAATTTAACTGCAGTTGTAAGCAAATGTCATTGTTATAAATTAACATATAAAAATCGTACTACTTACTAATGGCAAGTAGTATAATGTTGAACGAGGGAAAAATTGAGAATGAACAGGTAGGGAAGGAATTAACACATATATGATCAAATACGGCTAACCTTTTTGTATCTTCCACTGTCAGTAGCCATATCTCACATATATGATGAAGGATATATATATATACCATTTGTCCTTTTATTAGCGATATTTTCTCTTCAAAATATTTTTTGTTAACAGCTTTTTACCGATGCCTATTCAAATTTGATTCATTTACGATTACATAATCCATTTGTGACGGTGTTCTACAATGGCATTACTACTACTACTACTAATAATTCCTCACATCAGCATATGCCAGTTCAATCGTCATCATCATCATCATCAGGGACATCATCGTATTTCACAAGACTGGTACCATTCACAATTTTAAAATCATCGAAATCCCCTTCATTTCTATTATTATCACGTAATGGTTTACAAGTAATGACCAGCAAATCTTTTCAACATGCATCTATGCCAACTTCGTTGATGGCTTATTCAAAAAATACTGGTAAGTATGAAAGTATGTAGGTTAATTGGAATAAATGCCTGGCTATATTAAGCTTAATAGAAATTGAATTCACCGTCTTTTCAGATTAGGAGATGATTGGATTGGATACTAAATAGCCCGTAAATCATGACACCAACCAGTGTCTATCTTCCCGTAACTTGATTCCCTCTGAAAGTCGCCGCCTAGTGGGGTCACGTGTTCCAAGTACTGAGCAGTCTAAAACTCTGGACAAACTTTATCCAGTTTCTCAAAGGCTTCCTATCTATTGGATCTCATCGGATTGGATGTCTGTCTGTTTTCGACATAGAACTTTGCACATATGTACGGCAGTTCAAGTCGCCACACTCCCCCCTATAGCACACCAAGCAAGAGAAGAAAGTAGGAGAAATGCATAATAAAGACAGTAAACACAGGTGTGAGACAAAGGAATAGTAATAATGAAGAACAAAGCAGTTTAATTGGAAATCATGAGTCACAAGGAGTGGATGCATCTGCGCCACTGAGAACGATCTTGAGCCATGTCACCAATTGCTTTTAACCATTGGTTTTTACCGTCCCGAGGACCCCAACCAGTCAGGAAGTCTACACCTTCCTACGTGGCTTAGACTAACCGTTGTAGATTTCATTGACTGGTGCCATGTTTTGGTTTGACAGCCGCTAGCTCTTTTCCAGCCTGGCCCTATATCAGCTAACATTGCCCGTCGAGGTAGGCGATGACTAGTCATACATAGCACATGTCCTAACCATCTCAGTCGATGTAATTTCACAGTCTCGTCGACTGATTTCCGCTCCCTCTTTACCTAGCACACGACGCCTAACCTCAATATTGCTCACCTTATTATACCACTTCACGCGGGAGATAGAACGCAGACACCTATGATCAAAGACAGTTAATCTTTTCATGTCTTCCACTCTCAATGGCCAGGTCTCACAGCCATAAAGGAGGACGGAGCGGACTGTTAAGCAGTGCACACGCCCTTTGGTCGATAGTTGGATATCACGTCTACGCCAGAGACGGCGTAAACTGGTATATGCGGAACGATCCTCCTGTATCCGTGCTGAGATTTCGTCAGCGATCAACCCGTTGGGATTGGATCTTAAAGTGTGTGTGTGTGGGGGGGGATGGTCTTCAGTTATCTCACGATTGTAGATAAGTCATCCTGACGTCGAGTACTAATTGGCAGTCAACTTTAAGTCAGGTAGGGCTACCTGTCGATTGCCTCCAGCTGCAGTGCATTGTTGTGATGGCCAGTAGTTACTTTATCTGGTCAGTACATTGTAAACTTGACTGGTGATAGAGTTCAGTTACCCCTGCAACACTGGGTGGAAGGGGAAAAGACTTGAGAAACACATGACATTTGACTTCTTACTCCCTAGTGATGAATATTTACTGAAGTCAGAAATGGCAGATTTCAAATTAAGTGGACATTTGATTTAAAAGTCATGATAATAAAATATTCTGGAAAAAATTGACTACAATCTTTCAGTTTCTCCTCGTCATTTTATGTCCTCCATGTATCCCACAAAGTGACTGCCAACTTGTCACTTTCACATTTGGGTTCTACTCGAGGATTTGCCTAGCGTTTGATGTCGGTCAGCAGTCTTCTCAGTGTATGTTCAAACTATTTCCAATTCTTTCAGCATTTTTGTTAGGCAGTAGGCTGTTGGTTGGTTGGTTGCCAGAGATTGTCGTAGCCGGTAAGCTGATCTACATTTTTGAGCGGAGGTAGCTAGCTACTAATGAAGATTTGAAGCCGGTCGAGATGGATTTTAGTGCCTTTGCACCGCCAGTGAGTGACTTATTATCCGTAGTGAAAGTTCGAATCTTCTTGTGTTTTTTTAATGCTGATTGCAGCAGATTTCTGCACTGAAGGTGTTTCTTGCTTTTTTGATCCTTACTAGTTCTGACGTCGTCACCTTTGCCGCCTGTTTATAGCTGAAACGGTATTGCCTAGCCAGCTAATCGAAAGAGATGATTCTCTCCACTGATGGTGATTGATGGTTATTGTTGGTGGTGGTCGATGGGTATCCTCATCATCTCTGTCTTCCCCATGTTCACTTGAATTTCTATCTTGATTGCTTCTTCTGCAAACTGGTTGTTTGTAGCCTATAGACACAAATCGTCCGCGAAATTCAAATCTTTTAGAGTCTTTCTGTCGGTGCAACGTATGCTCATGTCTTAGTTTCCCCACAGTCTACTGTGTCGAACATTATTGTAGTCTTGGCACCGGTGTCCTTATACGGTGGAACAGTGGTTAGGACTCTCGCCGACCATGCACATGGTCCGAGGTTCGATCCCCTGCCGGCGCACACCCAATATCTATGGTCGGCCTGAATTTGGGCTACCGATATCCATGCTGAAAATTCCACACTTGTACTGAAAATACGGTGTGGAATCAAGCTGTAAATCAAAATAATAAAAAAAAATAATCAAAATAATAAAAAAAAATAATGCTAAACACCACAATACCAGCAGAATGATGGTGGAGTCATCTTTGGTCGATGGTTATTGTCGCATGAGTAACTGGGACGATGTACGTTTGAGGTAGGGCAATAGGGTGGGTGTGGTGCCAAGGGTTAGTGCAGAAGTTTTGATAGGTATGGCAAATTTCATTGGTTTCCGAACTCCCCTGGAGTCCAGTTCGGACTAAACTGGTTGTCTGAGAATAATGATGTCCAACGTCGGAGGATCCAACAACCCTGTTTCGTCCTAGTTTTTACTGGGTTCCAATGGCTGTGAAGAACAATCTACAAGCTAGTCTTGTAACCGGAAGTTCCTGGGTTCGAACCCTATTCAAGAAGCGTACTGATGAGGAGCCTCAGGCTGGGATGAAACAGTTGTTCAGAACTATTTCCTAACTTTTGAACCTTTGTGTTTTTGTCTTATCGCTCTTCATTTTTTTGTAGACAAACCGGTTGTCCATTATGCTGACAATGAAAGAAGTTCACTACAATTTGTAAGTTGATCTGTTTTGCGATAAGTGATTTTTTGTTGTTGATTTTTTTAAAAACAAAAATCGAAAACACAACAAGCATTGAACAACACCTTTGTGAGGTGATAATCAATCTTGGCAGTAAGAAGCGCTCAACAAATCGAGTTTTCAAGTTTAATAGAAAAAGCATCCTTCTGTGAATTGATTAAAAAAACAAATTAGCAATCCTAAGCTACTATTGATCTTCACTTCAATAATTGAACCTTAAAAGTTTCTACTCGAAACTTTATTAGTTGAGAGGTGATGTCTATTTGGGTTTGGTGGTTTGTCGGTGTAGGCTACTAATCTGAGGAATGCCAGACTAGGATGGAAGGGGGGGAGAAATATATTCCAGTAATCTAGTGATCATTGTTACTTCTTGACCAGATCTAGTCAAGATCCAGCGTCAGATTCTTTTCCACTTTTTATTCTTCTAAAATTGAAAAACAATTTTCGCATAATACATTATACTACTAACTAGCTCAAATGAGTAGTTGGATACCAATGACTTATCATGCAGCCGTAATACTTGCTAGGCAGATTCAATTCATCTAAACAGTGTGGTTCCTCATCCCTAGAAAGTGTGAGTTTTATGGTTGCATACTGTAGAAGACTTCCAAAACCAATCGTTTCCAATGATTGTCATACTGTTGTTATTTTGTAAAGAGAAGTCTGTGTTGAGATGATTAACAGGACTTGGTCACTAATTTTCAACAAAATTATTATTTAATTACATTGGAAATTATCCAGTCAATGGTTAGAATTGATTGTAGTTTCCTGTAGAAGGTATACTGATCCAGATCGCAATTCGTGTGTTCCTCATTATACCGTAGATGCAAAACAGCATATGTCTGTCTATCTGGATTCAACATAGAACTTGGCACCGAAGTGCAGCAGTTCGAGTTGCCACGTTCCAAAGAGTACACAAGGGTAGATAAGAAGATAAGTGAAGAGAATCAATAGAGTTCTGACAAGTATAAGAGTGAAACAGAATGAGTAATGGTAGAAAGAAATATGAAGGTTAAAGAGACTGAATACATCTGCTTAAGCCATTGACAACGATGAGTTTGAGCCATGTCACCTATTGTCTCCAGCCGTTGATTGATTCTTAGAGTCCCGAGGGCGGGCCCCAACCTGGAAGTCTGCATCTCCTTCCCTACCTGACTCAGTTTAACTGTCAAGGATTTCATGGATTGATGAGGCCATGTTTTTGTTTGGCCACCACTTACTCTTTTCCAACCTGCACCTATATCAGCTAGTAATGCCCGTCCGTCGGGGGAGGCGATGGTTAGGCATGTGCAGCACGTCACCTAGCCATCTCAATCTATGTAACTTTATTGCCTCTTCGATTGATTTTCCCTCTTTGCCCAACACTCTACGCCTAACGTCAACAGCATATTGGTATATATATGTATCCTCTTTGTCTCTCCAACTTCCCTTTGTTGTTTGTTGCCACTTTCCATATCTCCCGTATAGGCCTGCTCTGCGTCATTCCAATTCCACCTGTGCGGTGTTGAGTCGATAAACAAAGCTTCAGTGTTTAACCACTCTCTCTCTCCAACTAACCGTGTTAATTCCTAAAACTTTCACTCTGTCCCCCTTTATTTTGTGATTACATGCGAGTAAAGGCAGTGTGATGGCTGAGCTGTATTTTTCCTAGATTATTTAACTTACTTAGCAGGGTCAATCATCATTGTAGGTCTAGCTAGATTTGTATGTTCCAGTAATCTAGTTGACCCGGATCTACTAGTCTGAGTGATCTATGGAATTGACCTGACTAACAGTCATCAATTGCATGGTATTTGGTAAATTATATTATCTTTCTTAATTGGATCTATCGGGTCGTTGAGCGGACACAGTTTAGCCCTGAATGAATTGGTTGGTTGGTAGGTTGATTTAAATGTCACCCTAACTAATTCTAGCGTCATTGAGAATCCTATATAAGACCTCTGATTTGTTGCTTCTTTATACGGCAGTGTAACAGAGGCGTTGAATTCTATATTATTTTCGTGACTTTGTTCACTTTTTTATTGTTAGTCTTAGTTTTCCTGTGGTTCTTCATACATTTCTAAATAAATTCTGGTGGGTATTTGTTGTTAGAGTGTTTGTCTCGGTTTCCTATAAATGATAGCATCTAACCACCCACCATCTTGTTTTTGGTTATATTTTGCAGTCTGGCATGCTCAACTCACCATGTTCGTTTTCTAATTCTGAAGTGAATCGGTTATTCTGTTCATTATTGAGTTTATATTGTGTGTGTGTGTGTGCATAAATGAGGGATATGTTCAGATTTTAAAGAAGTAAAGGAAATATTACTAGCGCATTACTACTCATCACAATTTATTCAGAAATGTATGAAGAAGCATAGAAAAACTAAGACTAATTTGTATGTATCCAAACCAAGTTCACTTTTAACAGTTTAGAAAAAATTTGGGCATTGGGTATATGATATTCATTATAATTGAGGTTTTTTCTTGTATTTCCCAATGAATGAAAAACAAAACGATATTGTTTTGAATGACATTTCGCTATTTAATGCTAATAGCTTTATCAAAGTATTATTAATAACCCGGAATTTACAAAATCTCAGTATATATATATATATATATATATATATATATATATATATAACAAAGAGTTAAGGGGTGAGAAAATAGACTTAGGTCAAGTTAAAGGGACATATTGAAAGTCAAAATAGCAATGAAGATCACTAAACCAAATAACAAAGGTAATAGTACATCTGTTATGATATCAAAACAAAGTTTACTAACTTGATCATCGTTCGTCTGTTTGGGGGCATTTTTGGTTGTCAAGTTGGTGAATTGGTAAAGATAACAAAACCATCATGTGTAGATTGTTGGATTTGATCAGTGTTTAAAATTATAAAGGCAGTGTGTGTTTACATAGTGAACTTGCATATCATATTCGTGTTGATTTTGTCACTTCATAGGGGAGGGGAGTGGGGTGTTGTAACCAGGTTAGATTCTGTTTTAGTCCATCATTCCTATTCAGGCAATTTTCATTCCACTACCCATGGAACTTCATCAGCAAAATCAACACAGACATTAAGTATGACCGAAAACGCATTCCGAAAACATGGACATCAACAGTCGTCATTCCATATAGAGCAGAGACGTCAGACGATATCAGAAGAGTACTCAATCAGCTCAACATCAGAGTTTTCTTCAAAACATCAGACACACTTCAAAGCAACCTTGTTCATATAAAAGACCAAATCCCTAAAGACGTTGGCGTTGTAGACATTCGCGTACCCATTGTCGAATGTCCGAATTCATCTTGGGCCACACCATATACATCGGACAAACATCTCGAGAAATCAAAATCAGAAGAAATAAACACCGTAGAGCATCTCTTCGACCACCGAGAAATCCCGTTGAACTACAAAAACTTGAAAAATCATCAGCCATAGGTCTACATGCTATAGAATCAAGTCACAAAATTGATTTTGACAACATTGAAATAATCCAGAAAAACTTCAGAAATCACAAACAACGTCTAATATCAGAAGCGCTTCATATCCAGTGGCATTTAAACCAACCAACCAACCAACCAACCAATTCATTCACCGCTAAACTCTGTCGGCTTAAGCACCAACCCGATAGATCCAATTAAGAGAAATAATATAATTTACCAAATACCATGCAATTAATGACTGTTAGTTAGGTCAGTTAAAGCATAGGCCAAACTAGTAGATCAGGGTCAGTTAGATTATTGGAGCATAGAAATTCAACTAGGCCTAGAATAATTAACCCTGCTAAGTAAGTTAAATAACCTAGAAAAAACGGTTCAGCCATTTAAAAGAAAAGAAGGCGTTCAGCATTCTTTTATATGACTGAATGGGGATTTTCAAGGTTTAGCCATTGCAATGCACTGCATTCACTTTTATCTAATCACACAGTGATGGTTTGGAACAGAGTGAGAGAAGTAATATTGTTAGATGGAATCTCTTTTTGTTTATTGATTCAACACCGCACACGTGGAATTGGAATGATGCAACGCAGCCTATACCGGAGATATTGAAAGTGGCAACAAAGAGCAAAGGCAAGTTGGAAAGACAGAAAGAGAGTTACTTGTGAAACCATGCCATGCGGCAATGATCTATGCTCGAGAGCTTGTCATCCAGTTGTTAATGCTATACTGCAACATTGGTGTGTACGATTATTAAAATAAACGTATCTAATATGTGTAATCGATTTCCTGTTGGAATTTAGATTTAATTTTAGTTGTCCGATTGTGGTTACGAGTAGAGCTTCATTCATAATCATTCGACTATTTTCATCATTTTCGTCATCGTTGTCTTCTTCTTTCTTTGCTTATTCATCAGATAACTGTTGAATTTGTTAATGATCAATTTTTTGATCCAGTGGAATCTGTTACACTGAATGCAAATAAAAAGACAATAAGTTACCTGATAAAAGATTGCTCTTTTCATCATCGTCATCACCAGGATCAATCCAATGCAGCGTCATCCAACGTTAATCAGACACGATTGGCTAAACGATTTCTAGTTCGAGTAAGTGATGTCTATGTATAATTGATAAAGAATTTTTTTCTCTTTTCTCTAAATGCTTGTTGAAAGTTGTTGGCTCCAGTTAGTATGAACCTCTTGAAAGATCAGCAGGGTGTACTACTACTACTGGGCAGCTGTTTCGTCCTTATGTTGGTACTTCTCATCAAGTATGCACACATAAAGTCCTGATGGAAGAGAGTCCTCCCGGCACTGACTGTGTATGCATCGTGAATTAGTGGAAATTAGAATTTATGCGTCATAGGATTCCGTCTCATTGTCTGAATGATATACAAGTTCGCTTTTGTCACTTGTAAGTCCTGAGTTCGTTCTCTGGGTGGGGAATTTGGGGCACGTACTGATGAAGAATCCAAAACTAGGACAAAACAGGCGTGTAGTACTCCCTGGTGATGATCATACATGAAATCAATAAAATCTCCTGCAGAAAAAATACTTGGACATAGATTTTTGTTTCATAGTGGATCATCACTGTGATGTCATATTTCGTGACCAGCTGACTCACTCACTAACTGAGTGACTGAGTTTGAGATGTAGATCTCTAAACTGAAGTCAACCATTTCGAAGTATCACAATTAAATAAATCGACAGGATGCAATTGAGGAGAGAGAGAAGAAGCAATTCAAAGACACTGTGCAGTAAACGGAAATGTTCCGGAGAAACAATAAGTACACAGGAGAATAAAAAGAATTTTATGGATTTCATACAGCTGGTTCCTCCTTCTATTAGTTTGAATAAACAAAGAGCGAACGCTATTTGCAGTTTTGATAATATGATTGACTCGCTGTTGACTCAACAGCGAAAGGTGTGTGAAAGGTGTGAAAACACACAAAAACAACCATTCACGTTCAAGGTTACCTACCAGGAAAGATGACTAATAAACTCGTGGAGAAATCTAAAAGCTCACTTCAATTCAAATTGAAGTGTATGCGCTGAAGATTTCGCCTAGTAGGGCGATGACAGCTTTGCAAATAAACCATCCAGCTAGCTTAGAGAACACAACCACATCAAAAACATTGACGTGAATTGTTGTCTACCAATTTTGGCCTACAGACAGCTCTCACCACAGTAGTAGTATACAGTTTATTGTATCAAACAGACCCCTACATATTTTGTGGTGATCTGAATAATTTGGGTTTGCAAAGGAAGTTGTATATTGTGAAATGCCACTCCTTCAAATTGTATAAATTGCTTATTTTGATTGATTCTATGTCAGATTACATTTTTCGAAGAGTAAGGCGATGGTTTGGCATACGGATAATACATCATCTTCTAGCTATCTCAATCGATGCAGCCTCAAAAACTCATTGAATTGACTAACTTCCTATGCCTAACCTCATTATTACTCATCGTTTTGTGCGATTTAACATTGGGGACAGAGCGTGTAAACGTCTGTAGTTAAACACTGTTGGCCTCTTTATACCTTCCACTTCCAATGGCCACACATATAACAGCTTTAAAGAAGGACAAAATGAAGTGCTGCATTGTAGCCGCAGAAGAGAAGACTTCTGATTCGTTGGAATTGTTTGGTTTATTCAACATTCTGTTAATAATTTAATTAATTAATTTCGTTGAGACCAAAATTGTCAGTTTATGTTGACATATCAGCTTCGAGTCTTCTGAATAGCCTGAGTACAAATCTTTGGATGTTTTGTATGCGATTCACTCCGGCTGTCAAATGTAAGATGATGAGGCTACTGGACTGGACTGGACTACATCGACTACTCCTAGATTAAAGATAGACAGGAGTGAAGTTGTTGCTGAACGTGTTGACCACTTACTTTACTTATTCAGGAAGTAGCACCAGCCAACGCCAACAGGTTGATCGGTGATGAAATCTCATCACGGATACAGAAGGCTCGTTTGGCATTTGTCATCCAAATCACGCCATCTCTGACTTAGTAAAAGTGATATCCGGCTAGCTGTCAACCAAAGGACGTGTGTACTGCTCAGCAGTTCTCTCCATCCTCTTTTATGGCTGTGACTGAGACATAGCCATTGAAAGTGGTAGACATGAAAGGGCTAGCTAGCTAGCTGTCTTTGATCATGAGTGTCTGTGTCCTATCTCCCCTGTTTCATGGTAGAATAAGGTGAACAGCACTCAGTTGGTGAGGCATCAGCTGAGAGAGTGCTAGGTAAGGAGGAGGCTAGATCACTCGACGACGTGGTGAAGCAGCTGCACCGATTGAGAGATATGCTTATAACATGTGTTACGCATGCATTCCTAGACATCCATTGCCTTTCTCGACAATGAACAGTGCTAGCTGCTAACATAGTATGGATGGTGGATCAAGTTTGGAAAGAGCTACCACATGGTAGTCAAACCAAAATATGGCTTCATCAGCCTCATTTGTCTGCATCCAAAGTGAAACTCGAAGCCAGAAACCATCATTTCAAAAACCACAGGGTTTCCCGCCAGGTTATGGAAACTCCTATCAAATTTTAGTTATTGAAATTCCTGTTAGAAGTGATTTTGTTGGGTGTTTGGAATCCTGGATGTTGGATTCGAGTCTCAGCAGGAAATAATATCATCACTCACTGAGTTGGATGTAGGTAGGTACACTTAACTGATGGGACACATAACTTCCACAGAACGTCTCCACTGTTTCCTGTTCACAACAGTCTACTTTACCTGGCTCCACAACTGTCAATACTCCTTCATCTCCTCTTCACACGGTGTCTTCCATGTCATCCTCGGACATCCATCTCATTGTTTATCATGCGAGTTTCCCTCGATCGATGGTCTGGCGAGCGACTGTACTAAACGACTTCCTCAACATTTGTACAATCCATTATCTCTATTTCCTACAGCATGTTTGTTGGGTGTTAGGTTGTTAGTTCATGAGTTATCAGAGTTGATTGTTGCTTTTTTTCTATCCAGTCACCTGATCTTCAGTAATATGAAGCAAGTGAAGGCAGATGTTGATAAATGTATCTGCATTATCTTGTTAAAATACTCTCTGTGATGTGCCAAGCTACTAAACCATATAGTAGATACAGCAGGGAGGGAGACATCTCTCCCAGAATTTCATCCAAGAATTCCCTTTTCACCATTAACTGATATCAGTTAGAGAACCATTGGAAAGCCAGCTGGGAGTACTCGACAGCCAGCTGTGTAGTCAGCCTAGTTTGGGACTCTTTAGTAGTACGCACCCACCGACAGAGTTCGAAGCTTGGACCTTCTGGTTACAAGATGAGCGAGCTCGTATACCATTTAGCCACTGGGACCCGATCCGAAGGCCCATGAACGTTTTGGGTAGCACGACCACTTCGCAATGTTTTCTTCGCCTTGTAACCAGAAGCTCCTGGGTTCGGACCCCAGTGCAGTGGGTGCGCGCTCTTGAAGAGTCTTAAACTAGGCTGACGAAACAGCTGTCCGGTACTTCCAATGGTTCTCCAACTGATGGTAGCTCATGATGAAACCCTCCGACCAATACTTGAAAAATTTCCTTTTCATAAATTTGAGCGAAGAAAGAAGAAAAAACACAGTGCAGAATAACATGGATCCACTTTATTTCGTTGATTCTCCTCATCAACTGCATAGAATATTATTCTATTTTATGTGATTCTACAGTAATGTCTATTGCTCCTTCTTTTCCCTGAATAGAGCAGAACAGACTTTACAGTAGTGTTGAATATTCTAATTTCGTTCTTTTTGTTTGCTGACTGCAGCAGATTTTCACACTGAATTTGAAAGAATGAAGGTTGATTTTGCTTTTTCATCACTCCCGTCTCTGATATCCTCATTCGTGCCGACCGTACCTGTAATTGAAAGAATATATTTAACTGTCTCCGGTTGTGATAGTGTGACACTGGTGCTTGTTGTCTTCTACCTTTCTTCTTTTTTTCTTTTCTAGCTAGTAACCTCCTTCGGTGTCCCATTATCTCATTGGTCAATTGTCTATGTCACACCGAATTCCGACATAAAACAATGTGGCGCCTGTGATTGTACAATCGGTTATCTATCTGTTGAGAATACTCCAATTGGACAGCATATCAGTGAATTATACCTATCGGTTATCGATTCAACCAGTGGTTATTTTATATCCTTTAATAACGACTATAACAATAATAATCCAAGGATCATCATCATCCAGTCATTATGGATATGCAGCCGAGGTGTCTGCTTCAACTCTTCTCATTATTGGTGCTTATCAAACTCAGTTTATTGTTAGTCTCATTTATCTGCCTATAGTTTATTTATGCATTGAATTATTTATTATGCATTATTGGTTCTCCTCGTCCACGACGACAACGACGACGGCTACGGGGATGTCGACGGCGCCACGACGAAACAATTGAATACTTCATCTTGGTTGGAAAAACGAATAAAAGTGTAAAATACTATTCCATTATATAGAGTAGTAGCAGTGTTATCATATTTCCATTTTCTGTTTTATCTTTTATTTGATTTTCTTCTTTGCTGTCGACCTTCTACCCTGACCCTGCCCCGCCCCGACAGCATTTCGTCTTCTTTTCTTTTAGTTTGTGTACAATAATTTGTAAAATGTAGCCCACTTTTAGGTTTCTTAATTTATTAGATTTTATTTTCATTTTTTTCCCCATTTAAATTGTTCATCTACTTTTTATTTTGATGTCCTCATGTGTGTTTGTGTGTGTGTGTGTGTGGGTATATCAATGGAATGATGAAGGAGTGTGTATGGACGACGTGACAAAGTGAAAATAAAAATACCTCACATATTATGATAATCCGACTTTCATTGTTTTTCATTTTCCTTTTCCTATTGCATGTGATTGATTGTGATGATTGTGTGTGACACTGTATGAATACCCATTTCGATTTATGGAATTCACTAGGATTTGGATTTGTTGAACTTAGATAAAGCAATAAGAAGACGTAATTTGTCTGAATCGTGTACTCTTGTATTTGCGCAACACATTTCGAACAATCTGATCACATCCACGAACTTGTCATAGGAATATATATATGAAATTAACATCAAGCTACCTTATATGGGGCATCAAAGCAGCTTGATAACTAGACAAAGACTGAACGCTGCTGTGGTTAAAAAGACTTTTTATGCAGCTAATATCATAATAATAGAGAATGTAAAGCCAATATATATATATATCTAAGCTCTTCGAAAATGCGAAAAATGACGTCACATCCCATTGTATTTACCAATTTGAATGTACGTGTGGACACACATACATAGGGAGGACTCATGGATCTCTGCAAGTAAGGGCTGGCTTCAGAGCATATTCCTAAATGGCTCCAGAAACAAATGGAATCTTCAGAACCCATTAATGGTGAGAACAGGAGACCTAGCTCCTCTATTGCAAAACATATTACAGAGGAGACAGGACATAAAATTGATGTTCACACATCTTTTAAACCTATCTATAAAACGTGTTTGGTGGAGGGCGTATCCTAAAGTTTGTGGAAGCCCTAGCTGGCAATTAGAAAGTTTAAGTCACCTTTATGCGTTCAAAAACAATTCGTCATCACATTAAACCTTCCTTGGTAAATTTTTTTTGGTTAGTGCTCTTCATTGTTACTTTGACCTTGAATATGTCTTTTTAACTTGACCTAAGTCTATTTTTCTCACCTCTTACCTCTTTCTTAATTTCATATATATATTCCTATGACAAGTCCGTGTGTGTGATCAGATTGTTCGAAATGTGTTGCGCAAATACAAGAGTACACGATTCAGACAAATTACGTCTTCTTATTGCTTTATCTAAATTCATAAAAGGAACTAATTGTTTTAAAATTTTGTTGATTTTGTTAGATTTTAGGACAAGACACATATTTAGGCGAACAATATTGTTGTTTTCAGTTAGATCTTCTTCAGGCTTTACTCTAATTTACATAGATTTATGTATAACAATTTTAACCAATGAGGGTGATTTTGTGGATCAAATGATAATAATCATGTGGTAAATGTTTTGAACGTAGTTCATAACGATGATTATAATGATAACAAAAAATATTGATAATAAGGTTTATGCATGCGGTGATAAGAATAACAAAGATAGTCAATCTTTATGTGTGTATATGCAGACAATTCAATAAATAAATAAATTAGGTCAAATCTACAAAGTTACGTAATACTAAAAGTAGGTGAAGTGGACAATTAGATAGTCAGAGTTTAAATAATAAATATCATAAACACATGAAGGAGATGGAAAATAAGAAAGGGTAGTGAGAGGGTTTTGAATAGAATTCACCTAGGCTAGCTAAGCGAGGGAGAGATAAAGGTAGAACAAACTTCTTTTGTTGTATGCAAAGACGACGAGGATTGTTCTCCCTCGAATTAATTCCAATAGCTTCGGCTATGTGTCTAGCAGGCGGTTTCGAATTCTGTTCGAAAGGCTCGATGGAATGCGATAGGTAACTTTGATTGCTTAAGTGAAAGACAAGCTACCTAGCTGTGCCACTTCTATGTGTATCTATAAATTTAGTTGCTCCTGTGGAGAGAGCTGGCTATTTAGGGCGAGCAACTAGACAGCTAAACAAACGTATTAATGAGCATCTTCCTTCCCTCATGGTTTGGAAAAGGCCAAATAAAATCTATAAGAAGCTCCATTTTGACTCATTTGATTGATGACAGCGGTCACCAAGTGGATAGAAGAAGAAGTGTCTTCAAATTTATCTATCGTATTCGATCAAGCCTTTCGAACGGAATTCGAATCCGTCTGCTAGACACATAGCCGAAGCTATGGGAATTGATTCGAGAGAACAATCCTCGTCGTCTTTGCATACAACAAGAGAAGTTTGTTCTACCTTTGTCTCTCCCTTGCTTAGCTAGCCTAGGTGAATTCTGCTCAAAACCCTCCCATTACCCTTTCTTATTTTCCATCTCCTTCGTATTTTTATGATATTTATTATTTTAACTCTGATTACCTGTTTGTCCACTTCACCTACCTTTATTTAGTATTACGTAACTTTTGAGATTTGACCTAATTTATTTATTTATTGAATTGTCTACATATACACACATTAATTACTACTACCTTTGTTATTCTTATCACCGCATGCATAAACCTTATTATCAATATTTTGTTATCATTATAATCATCGTTATTAATGACGTTCAAAACATTTACCACATTATTATTATTGTTATTTGATTCACAAAATCACCGTCATTGGTTGAATTCCGTTTTATATATACAAATCTATGTAAATTAGAGTAAAGCCTGAAGAAGATCTAACTGAAAGCAACAATATTGTTCGCCTATTATAGGTCTTGTTCTAATATCAAAAATGGGAATACTTAAAGATTTGTTAGATTTTATCATTGAGAGTTGACAGGGAGGCAGCACTGGACAGCTGTTTTGTCCCCATAGCTGTGGTGCAGATTGAACGCAGAGACCTTGTGGGTGGGTGGGTAGGTTACCAAGACCAAACTCATTCGCTGTTCAGTCACCTTGACCGGGATTTACTCACCCGTGAATTCAGTTTAACTGCTACTGTGGAGTGATCCAGTTAGTTGCATAGGCCTTTAAAATTAGGCGTGTTTCTCGTCGAATTTCCGAACATCACCTGCGTAGTGGTTGGTTAAGTAAAGGACAAACAAAATATATTCACATAGCGCTATTCTATCACATATTGTGGATACAGTACATAAGATTAAGGATGTTTACAAGGCAGCTTTCAAAGTCAATTACCGCATACCAACAAATTTCAATTTCGCCTTAAGAGTTCGACTACTAAGTATTGCTGAGGCTGGCTGTTGGGATCCATATTAAGAAGCCTAATTTGTGCGTCCAAAAGAAGCTAGTTCAGACATTATCATTACCCCGCTGGCCATCTAGGTTTGAATGATCCTAAATTTTTGCGGAATTTCTCTAATTTTAGTTGATATTCTATTTGCTACTATATTTTTATGATTATTATAATTTAAGCATCTTTAATGAACTGCGATTCCATGGTGATCTTACTTTACAAATCGATATTATTTAAAAAACACTAATATTGTTATTGACTACTAATCTAGAATATTCTATGTATCTTTCGTCCAACATGAGGATTTGTCAACTGGATGTACCTACATCCTAGTTATTCAGTGATTGATTGTATTCCCGCAGAAGCTTGAACCCCCGTCCTCCTATAGGTAATTGCCATGATCAAACTGTGCAAACGTTTTCCATTGGGTCTCATCCCTTTCTGGTTCTATTCGAGCGTTTGTCTGTCTTGTGATGTCACCTCTTCAGCGGGTGTTCAGGCCTTCTCTATGTCCTTGTGCATGTTTAATGGTTATTTGGTTTTTTGTTTGTTTCTAGAATAACTTTTCACTCATTCTTCTCTCGTTCAACTGGCTGATCTTCGGTGCCAATTAGCGAAGACAGATATTGATGAAGGTATGCAATCTGTTGGAAATGTTTTTGATGACGCGTTCGCTAAGTCTTCTAACTATACGAAGGCATTGATTTGACATTACTGTTGAAAAATTAGATCTTGTTCTTCATGTTGAATGCAGACTGATTTTAGAATAATGAAGGTTTGCCTTGCTTTCTCGATCCTGACTGGCTTTGAAATCTGCATCTGTAGCTGTCTGTAATTGAAACGATGCTACCAAAATAAAAAAATAGAAGGCGTGACTTCCTTCAAATTTCTCCTGTTGGTGATGACTGGTGCTTGTTGTTGTGGTTGTTGTTGGTCAGGTATCTTCGTCATTTGTGTCTTCTTCATGTTCACTTGAAGTCGTGTCTTAGCTACCGATCTCTTGTTTCAACTTGCTTGCTTTTGTCCGTAGATATTGAAGTTTCTGTGATGTTGAATGTAATTCATCCACGAAGTCAAGATCTCTTAGAGTGTTTCTATCGGTTCAATGTATGCCTGTCGTCTTGCTCTCCACTGTCTGTTGTGTAATCCAGTCGAGTCCACTACAACTAGGAATTTCATCGGTGATAGTAGAGAGCCTTATCCTCCTGCTGTCTCCATTTTGAAGGCCTTGCTGAGCCCTGCGCTATCTGTCGCTTGACATAAAATTTAACATAAAAATGGATTGGTTGGAGGATTTCATAACGAGCTGACATTAAGTAGAAGACCATTGAAAAACCTGCAGGGAGTACTGGACGGCTGCTTGGGACTCTTCAGCAGTGAGCGGCCACAGTCCCAAACTAGTACGAATCAGCTATCCAGTACTCCTACGTTTTACAATGGTTCTGTAACTGATTTCAGCTCATGATGAAATCCTCCAACCAATCAAACTAAATCCCTACAAAAACCAATACTTGGAAATTAACATACAGTTTGTTAGTTATTTTTTGTAGCTTTTGATGTTCTTGTTGTCGTGTTCTCTGAGATGAATACCTTACTCGTGATGCTTTCATTTCATTATGTTTCTAGACAGCATCTTCAGCACATAGTTGTTCATAGATGGTGTCAGTGTTTATGAATTAATACTGAAATCAAACTGGCTTGTTATCTTTTTAAGAAATATAAGAGCTTTTCGATGTTTGGAGGCACTTGGCTGCGGCACTTGGTTGCCAGGTCCTATTTTTCATGCTAGTTTGCACTCACCAGCCAGATAGGCGTATCTGCGATTACCTTGAAGGAACTCATGTCCCTTCTGAAATTCGAAGCGGTATCACCTAATGCTGACTGTAGTCAGAGGCGTTTCCACTGAGCCAACTATTCAGGTTCGTTATGGATAAGATTTTATTTTGATAAATCATACAGTGTTGTACAGTAATATTAACTCATGACCACGTTTCGAGTACAAACTATTGCCACTCATAATCATATCACCTAGTGGTGTCCGGCGATATTATGATGAAACCTCGACCGATAGGTGGTACTTTGACGCGTGGTGGTTCGGCTTTCATATCTCAATGACCCAATGAGGCACAGTGACTAGAATTCATATTCCAGCATGTCCTGCCATGCTAGAATGGTGATTTGGATAGCGATTAGAATAGAAGCAGTTACCACCACATTACTGGTCTGTGGGAAAAGTTGTATTGCTGCCAAATCGGGTTGTTAACAGCAATAAGGCGTTTCCCTTAAGTGATCATCAAACCATTTATTTTATCTCTTATTTCTCTTGGGAGAGAAGACATAGAAAGGGTTTATACCGAAAATTGTATATCCCTACTTGTCTTGCGGTGGTCTGTAGCCGGCAGTAATGCATAACTGCAAAAACCACTTCAAACAGGCCGTGTGTGTGTGTGTGTGGGTGATCGGCGTCAAAGACTTGTCCACTGGCCTCTTTGGTCACGCAACTTCAATGCTTCTTCTGTTTGACGTATCCTTAAGAAGAGATGAACTTCCATGTTTTGTAGGCAGCTGGAAGGTAATAACCGTCTACACATTTCCATAAGCATGTGACGCTTTGATGATGACTGTCACTCTGATGAACAGCTTAAGATTCCGTTGTTTTCCATCACCAAAAGAGAGACTTCGAGTATACACATATACTACTACTAATAATAATAAAAATGGTCTAATCAATAATAAGGATGAAAAAGTGAGGCAATCTGTGATAACACGAATACTGATGAAAAACAGCATGATTAAACAAACAACTGTTCAGGTGGAAGTAGTCGATAAAGGCTAGTAAAAACAAATGAACCAATTAAGTAATGTTAGATTGTAAGGGAAGGAAATGAAACACGTTTATAGTGAAGATCAGATTAAGGGATGATAAGAAAGGGGTTGAAAATATAAACAAAGGGTGGTGTAGAAGTCATCAGTTGGTTATGTCTTGATAGGCCAAGGGAGGAATAATGGCTGTACGAACTTCTTTTGAATGCATAGTTTAGGTTTAATAGTTCGAATGTCTATCATCGCCCGCCTCAGCTGTGTGAAGTAGACGAATACGAAGTCTATTGGAAAGATTCGGTGGGATACGATGAATTACTTTGAAGGCTCTTGTTTTCTCCACTACATGACCACTATCAATTAAGTGTGACAAAATAGAGCTACGGTTTGTTTTTGTCTGTCCTTTGCCAAACCATGATGGGAGATGTTCACTCACACGTTGGCTAAGCTGTCTAGTAGTACGCCCAATATAACTGTCACCACAGGTGTAGTTGAATTGATAAATGCACAATGTGGCAAAACCGTCAAGCTTATCCTTCGTTTGCGTCCCAATCATTCGTCGGCTAGAGAATGACAAACATAGGTGTGCTGCGTAAAATGTTCTTCGTATACTCCTTGAAAGTCTTTCGAATAGAATCTCACTTGATAAGTCACCATGAAATTGTAACTTAATAAATAGAGGTTTCTTACGTGCAGTCAGAGTCTCCGGTTTTTTCTTCGATGTTTTCATATGTTTATTTATGAAACTACTCGGATAGCCTATCTCCATCAAGGAATCGTGAATGTATTCAAATTCCTTTTGTAAGATGTCATCCGTACATATCTTTCTTGCTCTGCTCGCAAGACATTTTACAACATTCCTTTTATATTTAATGGACATGTAACTAAGGAAGTGTGTGTATTGCCATGTGAATGTGCTTTTTCTATACACGCTTCTCCCAAGTGACCCATCTTCTCTCCTACTTAGCAAGACATCCAGGAATGTAGTTTATTGTCCTGCTCCTCTTCACAAGTAAAGGTAAGCGAAGGGTGGATGTTGTTGAATTTCAGCAACAATTCGTCTATGTTAACATTCCCATCAGCTAAGATAACTGTATCATCGACATATCGGTAATACATATCAAACTGCTTGATGATGTCCTTCAATTTCCCGTTTTCAAGTTTTGCGAGAAAGAAATCAGCCAGAATTGAGCCTCACTTTTTCATCCTTATTATTGATAAGACCATTATTATTATTATTATTATTATTATTATTATTATTATTATTACTATTATGACTAATTGCACAGTTTATACTCACCATCGTATTATCCTATAGACAAAACACCATGATTGGTTTATATTTGAATTTTTTATTTGTAAACTTATGTATAATAGAGTTAAGCCTCATGAGATCTAATTGAAAACACAATATTGTTAGCTTAAATATGTTGTTCTAAATTTTACTATGGGAATATTTAATATATACATATACTAATATATACGTATATGAGTTTTCAAGTATTGGTTTTGTAGGGATTTTGTTTGATTGCAAGGAGGATTTCATCATGAGCTGACATCAGTTAGAGAACCACTGGAAAACCTGGGAGTACTGGATAGCTGTTTCGTCCTAATTTGGGACTCTTTTAGCAATACGCACCAAATGGGGTTCGAACCCAGGACCTTCTGGTTACAAGGCGACCTCGTAGACCACTGAGCCACTGAGACCCGATCCAATGGTTCTTGAATTCTAACTTCTGCCAATTCACGATATGGCGTTACCATTTCGCAACGTCTTCTTTGATGAGTTAGTGCCTCATCTTCAACCTGCTGTATATGAGTTTAACTACGCTTTATTGTTTTGTATATATATTTCAGATAACAGTCACCAAATCTATTTATTATATATACACTACATGGATTTCTCGAGTATCCTTCAAGACTTACTAACTACACCGACAGAAGCACCAACTGAACATACTACTACTGCTATAAGTAGTAGTAATACTCGCAGGAATAAAAAATTCTGTTTACTCCGAAGTCATGGATTAGCTGTACATGAAATATTCTTCACTGAGTGTATTCATCAATTCTTACAGCAGCATTATCCTACACTAACTACTGTTCAATCTTATGGAGACAAGCAGAATAACAACAGCGGTGGTATCAGTTCATCGGAAGATGAGAGAAAAAACAGCAGCAGAAGCAGCAGCAGCAGGCGTATGCCTTGTAACATTATTATTATATGCATACATAAATCATGGGATATATATCGAAAGCTGTTAAATCCAATTTATACAAGTCATCCTCAAATTAAAGAATCTTTGCATATTATTGATATGACAGTTGGAATGAAAGAGATATTATCATCAACATCGTCATCGAATCAATCCGCGGAATCAAATCTCCCTGAACAAATGAAGAAGAATTGTACAACATCAGATGTACAACCTAATAATATTGAGGACAGTATGATTAGAAATTATATCAAGAATAAGGTAGGTGGATGTGTAAGTCTATTTTGGCATATATTTTACGTATAAGGGATGAGATTGTCTGTCTGTCTGTCTGTCTGTCTGGATTCAACATAGAACTTGGCACCGAAGTGCACCAGTTCGAGTTGCCACGTTCCAAGTAGCACACAAAGGTAGACAAGAAGATGAGTGAAGAGAAGAATAAAAGTGAAACAGAATGAGTAATGGTAGAAAGGAGTATGAAGGTTAAAGAGACTGAATACATCTGCGTAAGCCATTGACAACGATGAGTTTGAGCCATGTCACCTAGTGTCTCCAGCCTTCATTGATTCTTAGAGTCCGGGGGGCCCCAACCCGGAAGTCTGCATCTCCCTCCCTACCTGACTGACTCAGTTTATCTGTCAGGGATTTCATGGATTGATGAGGTCATGTTTTTGTTTGGCCATCACTTACTCTTTTCCAACCTGCACCTATATCAGCTAGTAATGCCCGTCCGTCGGGGGAGGCGATGGTTAGGCATGCGCAGCACGTGACCTAGCCATCTCAATCTATGTAACTTTATAGCCTCTTCGATTGATTTTCCCTCTTTGCCCAACACTCTACGCCTAACGTCAACATTACTTACCTTATTATACCACCTAACGTGAGAAAGAGATCGTAGACATCTATGATCAAAAACAGACAACCTTTTCATGTCTTCAAATCGTAGTGGCCATGTTTCAGAGCCAGCCATAGAGAAGGACGGAGCGAACTGCTGAGCAGTATACACGTCCCTTGGTTGATAGCCGGATGTCACGCCTACGCCAGAGATGGTGTAAGTTAGCGAAAGCAGCTCGAGCTTTTTGGATCCGTGCTGAGATTTCGTCACCAATCAATCCGTTGGTGCTGATACAACTTCCCAAATAGGTGAAGTGGTCAACATGTTCTATCACTTCACTCCCTATCACTAAGCTAGGAGTTGACATAGTCCAGTCCAGTAGCAGCATCTTACATTTTACAGGGGCGAATCGCATGCGAAACATACGAAGATTGCTGCTCAAGGTGTTCCGAAGACTCTGCATTTTGTCAGCGTCCTCCCCTAACGGGACTATGTCGTCTGCACATTCTAAGTCCATAAGACTATTCCCTGGTAACAAGTCGATTCCTAAGTCGTTAAGTTCAGTTAAGGATACTTCCATTAGCATATCTATGATGAAGTTAAACAGAAAAGGGGAAAGTGGACATCCTTGACGGACATCACTGATTGTTATCAATTCAGATGACAATTCCCCATAAGCTCTTACACAGCTACGTGAGTTTGAGTAGAGTGCCTTGATTAGTGCAATGTACTTTCTTGGCACTCCCTTCACAGTCAGACATTGCCACATTACCTCTCGATCCACGGAGTCGAAGGCCGCCTTCAAGTCAAGAAATATGGCAATTGTTGGACGCCTAAAAGTGTGTCTATGTTCTAGGATCTGTCGGAGAGTGAAGATGTGATCTATGCTCCCTCTACCTGGCATTGATATAATAAGTGACTTATCCCATTCTGATGGAACCGTCTCTGATTCCCAGACGTTACCTAGTACCTTATTTAATCTGCATACTAGTATGTCACCCCCATATTTAAACCCCTCTTGAATAATTCCGTCGGGTCCTGCCGCTTTGCCTCGTTTCAAATTACAGATAGCTTTTGTGACCTCACTAACAGGGATGAGATTATTATTATTATTATTCAGGGTCTTCTGAACACCTTGAGCTGCAATCTTCGTATGTTTGGCATGCGATTCGCTCCTGTTGTCAAATGTAGGATGATGAAACTACAGGACTGGACTGGACTATACTGATTCCTGGTTTAGAAATAGGGAGTGAAGTGGTAGGGCACGTTGACTGCTTCACGTATTTGGGAAGTTGCATCAGCCAACGCCAACGGGTTCTTCGCTGACGGAATCTCAGCACAGATACAGAGGTCTCGTTTCGCATATGCCAGTTTATGTAGTCTCTTGTGTAGACGTGATACCAGGCTGGCCATCTACCAAAAGGCGTGTGTATTACACGGCAGCAGTTGACTCCGTCCTCCTTTTGCCTGGCTATGAGCAAGACATGGCCATTGAGAGTGGAGGACATGAAAAGACTGGTTAGCTGACTTTGATCATAGGTGCCTGCGTTCTATTTCCCGTGTGAAGTGTTATTGCAGGGTAAGCAATACTGAGTTTAGGCGTCGAGTACTAGGTAGGTGGGAGGGGAAATCGATCAACGAGTCTGTGAAGCTATATCGATTGAGATGGTTAGGACATGTGTTGTGCATGCACGCCTAGTCATTGCCTTCCTCGACGGGCAATGTTAGCTGACATAAGGTCAGCTTGGAAAAGAGCCAGTGGTGGTCAAACCAAAATATGGCTTCATCAGTTAATGAAATCCACAACAGTTAGTTTAAGCCAACCAACCACGTAGGAAGGTGTAGACTTCCTGCCTGGCTGGTTGGGGTCCTCAGGACAGTAAAAACCAATGAAGGCTGGGGACAATCGGTGATATGGCTTAAAATTGTTCTCAATAGCTGGCCGGTGCATATGCATCCACTCCTTGTGACTTATAATTTCCAATGAAACTATACTACTTTTCGTTTTTACTATTCCTTTTGTCTGATATCCCTGTGTACTGTCTCTATTTCACATTCCTTTTTTACTTTCTTCTCTTGCTTTGTGTGCTACATGGAGGGAGTGTGGCGACTTGAACTGCTGCACACTGGTGCAAAGTTCTATGTCGAAAACAGACAGGCAGACAGACAGACGGATGTTTTTATATCAGCCCTAGTGAACTCATTATTAAAGAATTCTCAGCATGAATTTCTCAATTTGCATCATTTCTTGCGTGGACAACATTTCTAGTTTATCGATCAAAGGAACTGTGAAAATTGCACAGCACTTTGCTCTGTTTTTGTTTATGACTGTGAGACATAGTCCTAATGAAAATGAACTATTGAGATGAAAAAGGTTGACTGTCTTGGCTCACAGGTGTTTTTACCTTCTATTACCTGCGTTAAGTTTGGTAATGAGGCAATATTAAGGTTATAAAGCAAAATCGATTGTGATGGATAGGACAGGTTAGGTATCTTCTGTTTTGCCGAACCGCCGCCTTCTCCTATACGAGTATTTGTTATGTAATATAGGATTAATTTGGAAAATGAGTTGAGGCGGGTGAAATCAACACATGGCAATAATCCATGCATTCTGTGACTGCTGATATGAGTCTACTATGTGAGGGTCCTTGTGATGCTAATAACTGATGGTTAGTAATATGGCTCAAAATCATCGTTCTCAGTGGAGCAGATAGATATAATCTTTTTTTAATGTCCCACGTTGATCAACTTCTCATGTTTTTTCATGTTATTATTCCTTTTTGATGTGGTTGTATTCTCTGAGTTAGCTGAATGGATGGTTTATTTGCGAAGCTTTCATTGCCCTACTAGGCAACATCTTCAGCGCATACTTCAATTTGAAGTGAGCTTTTAGACTTCTCCACGAGTTTATTAATCATCTCTCCTGGTGACCTTGGACGTGATTGGTTGTTTTTGTGTGATTTCACACCTTTTAGGTTATTTGTATTGTAACTCATTGTTTCTTTGACTTGAACTTTGACCCTTTGTGTGTGAGGTTTCCTTCTTATCGGTGGGTAAATTTTGTCTATCTCGATGTGTCTATTGATTGATGATTCAATGAAATACCATGCAGCCTTCTAAAAATTCTCTAGCATTCTTGGTGTTTCCTCTGTCTAAAATTTGAACGCTGGTTGTCCCAGTCGAATTGATGTCTGTGGTTGTCTGTATGCAGCGAGTGATATGTGGGAGTGGATGTCATGTCTTTTGACGGCTAGTCTATGTTCATGGATACGAAGACGAAGGGGACATCGTCCACTTTGGCCAATGTAGTGTTTTACACAGTTGTTGCAATTTATTTTGTAGATGATGTTGGTTTTATCTTCTTTCGTTGTTGGGTCTTTTCGTTGACACAGGGCTGGCTGAGTGGAGTGATTTTTTTGGTTTGTGTGCGACATCAATTCCTAAAGGTGTTTGAAGAGTCTTGGAGTGATTTCTGAGATGCCGTCTTTTATATATTGTAGGGCGATTTTCTTTATGTTTTCCTTGGGCTCTTTTGATTTGATAGGTTGGCTTGGAGGTATATGTCTTTTGATAAAATTCCGTGGATATCCATTCCTTTGGAAGACGTCCATGGATATCCACGGAATTTCATCAAAAGACATATACCCCCAAGCCAACCTATTAAATCAAAGGCCTTCAAGGAAAACACAAAGAAAAAACGATCACTTTGAACCAGCCTTATCATCAATTATCTCCAGCCGCCGTCATTGGTTCTTACCATCCCGAAGAACTCAACCAACCAACCACTCAGGCAGTCTACATCTGACGTAGCTGGCTGGCTGGCTTGAACTAACTGTCGTGGATTTCATTGACTGATGAAGCCATGTTTTAGTTTGGTAGTGTGTGGACGGTTCTTACTTCCCGGCTGCCCATACCTGAAACAGAAAGAGGGTTAGTGTTGCGTGACCGCAGAGCCCAGGGGACAACTGCTTGAGGCCAGTCACATGGTCTGTATGAACTGGTTTCTTAGTTTGGTTCCGTATTAGTAAACTTACCGCCGGTTACGGACCACCATGGGGTTATTCCGGATGTACAATTGTTGAGGTCGACTTTTTCTAACCACTTCTCTCCGGAATGAAGAGAAAGCATAGCTGGCTTGCATGCTGGTCATCTGAGGGAAACCTTACTGTGGCTGTTATAACCCTGTTCCACAGCAGTACGACTTCGCCCACAGACTCCCAGCATAGTGTGAAAAACCAAATTCCTACACAATGCCAGTAACTGCTTTTAGTCTAGTCGCTATGCTAACAACCCTCCTGGCATGGTAGGAACTGCAGGAAGAATAGTTCCAGCCAGTGTAGCTTGTTGGGTCATTGCGATGTGCTAACCTGACCACCACGTCAAAGCAGAAGCTATCGGTCGGGTGTCAGCTAAAATTACCCGTTGTCGAGGAAGACAATGGCTTGGCGTACGTAAAACTACTCCTAACCATTTCAGTCAATGTAACTTCACAACCTCGTCGATTGATTTACCCTCCTTACCTAGCACTCAACGCCTTACCTCAATATTGCTCACCCTCTTATACCTCCACTTAACACGGGAGATAGAACGCAGGCACCTATGATTAAAGTCAGCTAGCCAGTCTTTTCATGTTTTCCACTTTCAATGGCCATGTCTTGCTCACAGCCACTCATAAAAGAGAACAGAGTGAACTGCTGCTGTGCAGTACACCCGACCTTTGGTCGATAGCCGGATATCTGAAAATATCAAGTAATGTTGTTTATACTGTGTCATATCAATTACAACATTGTTGAATATTTCTTTAAATTTAATTTTCTCTAGGTAGACAAGCTGCTAAAACCTTCCTCTTCTGAAGGAGAAGGTGATTCCATGAAATCAACCGGAGATCAAAATGTTGGCATTTTTATTGATAATTTAACTACCCTATATGATTTAGGTGTCAGTGTACGTGAATTAGAGAATATGATATCCAGCTGGTGCTGTTATCCTCATTCAAATGTTGACAATGATAATTTTGTAAAAACGTCTTCATCATCATCATCATTATTCATGCACATTGGTATACACGTAGGTGATAATTTTGAAGATTCAATTATCTCTGAATATGAACCGGCATTTGTACATTTTATTGATATGTGGAGAAGACGTGCATCAAATGTAATTGAAGTGAAACCACTGACAACTGGTTATACATCACTAATTGACGGACAGGTAATTTAATCATACTGTTTTTGTATGCTTTTTTGTTTAATCTTTTTTTTTAAATGTTAGTTTCTTGAGAAATTTATCTCAAGTTTGATCTCGGATTTGTGATGTCAGTTAGAGAACAACTGGAAAAGCAGCTAGGAGTACTGGACAGTTCGGGACTTATCATTAGTACTCATCCACCTCCAGGGTTCGAAACGAGGACCTTCCGGTTACAGGGCAAGCTAGCTCGTAGACCGTTGAGCCAATCAAATCCCTTCAAACTCCAACACTTGACAATTCATCTAATGTTCGCTTGTGAATGGCTCTATAAAGAGAGTTACCTGGACTTTTAACGAGAACTCTTCGTCACTGGGATCCGCCAAATCAAGCAGGAGTACAGTTATTCGTCTGTGATACTGGCTGCGCTAAATATGTGTCACGAATTGGTAGAAGGTGGAATGCATGCATCTTTAGGGTTGGGTCCCAGCGACTGGAATAGTCTGCTAGCTTGCCTTGCAGCCAGAAGGTCCTGAGTTTGAACTCTTGTGGGTGCGTACTGATGAGGAACCTCACACTAGGACAAAAACGCTGTCCAGTACTCCCAGGATTCTCGAAAAGATATTTAACAGGAACTTTGGTTTTTTAAACTGAATCTGGGAACATCGATCAAACCCTTCTGTTTCAGTAGATTAGATACATTATTATTTATTATTATTATTGTTTCCTTTAGTTCCTAGAGGAACATAAGACTTCAGCCGAACGTCTCCATTGCGTTTGATCCTCTACCAACGTTTTTACCTGGCTCTAAGTCTGCTTACATGCTTTCATCTTCTCTTCGCATGACCTCCTCCTCCTCCATGTCACCCTCGCACTGACGACCAACTCGCCGATCCCCATTCCATTGGGGTTCAACTCGAGAAATTGCCTGGCGTGAGATATCACTCACCCACCTCCATTTCATCCTGCATATCTGTTGCACAGTTGATACCTGCTGGGTTGGTTCGTCGTTCCCAGAGATATCTCACTATTGCTGATCTTTTCTGGCCGGCGATCTGATCTTGAGCAAAGTACTGAGCGAAGACAGCTGTTGATGAAGGTCTGTGGTTTTTTCGAAGCGCCCTTCGTGACACGGTGCCAAGTCTCCGGTCCGTATAGTGAGTAGCACTGACTAAATTTCACACTGGAGTTGACACAGACTTGAGAGTAATGAAGGCTTTCCTTGCTTTCCCGGTCCTCACTTCTTTGATATACTAATCATTTCGGTCGGCCTGTAGTTGAAACGATGCTTCCCATGTCGGTCGGTCGGTAGGTAGTTAGGTAGGTAAAGGAGGTTGCTTCTCTCAGATTTCTCCGATTTAATGCGGGCTGATTGTTGTCTGTTGTGGTTGCTGTTGCTGTTGCTCAGGAGTCTTCATCATCACCTCTGTTTTTCTATGTTCACCGGAAGGCCTATCTTTGATGCTTCTTCTGCCAACTTGTCGCTTTTTCATCACTTGTATATATTTCAGTTTGTTGGAAATCAGACATATTTCACATCAGGGAAATACAGATCCTCCAAATATTTTATGTGTGTCCATTTGATGTCTGTCTCCTCGTTGCCCGCTGTGTGTCTATCGCATTATCCAGTCTACCGCAATCAAGAAATTAATCATTGGAGACAGTAGGCAGCCAGCCAGCCTTGTCTTACCCCCGCCTTTACTTCGAAGGAATCCGTGATTTTCCTGATTGTGGATTACTTGGCACGTAGCATTATCGTACAACTGTTGGATGAGATGACATTATATACATATACATATATATATTGTATAACTTATGGATTTTATCAAATGACTTGACGCTTTCGCTGACACATAATACAAAAATGCGTTTAAAACGTGTCTTTCATCCAATCATATTATTCAATGATGAAGTATGAAATTGATTGGTGAATTTGATTTCTTATAAAATATGGCGGGGAATATGTATTTTCAGATAGGTAATCATTGGAATAATAATCCAAGCAGAGGCCGTTGATTAGAATCTCATCTCCATCCGGACTTTAGTTTCACAAAGGAAATCATGCATCACACACACTGAATATCGATTTGGCAAGATTATATATCCGACATCCTCATTTTCAGTTAACAATTTGCTCCTCTTTACTTCTGTGTGTTCTTGATCTCCTGTGTTATGGCTGCCTAACCGTCGGCTTCCTCGACAATGGGCAATGTTAGCTGCTGACATAGGATGAGGTTGATAAAGAGCTAGCACGTGGTGGTCAAGCGAAATAAAACCTCCCATCACTGCATGATATCTCCAACAGTTGGTTTAAGCCAATCACTTAGAGAGAGGTGTAGACTTCCTGACTAGCTGGTTGGTTGGGGTCCTCAGGATGGGTGAGAACCAGTGATGGAGGCTGGAGACAATTGGTGATGCAGAGTCTTGTGAACACCTTGAGCAGCAATCTTCGTATGTTTGGCATGCGATTCGCCCCTGTAAAATGTAGGGTGCTGCTACAGGACTGGACTACGTCAACTCCTAGCTTAGTGATAGGGAGTGAAGTGATAGAACATGTTGACCACTTCACCTATTTGGGAAGTTGTATCAGCACCAACGGACTGATTGGCGACGAAATCTCAGCACGGATCCAAAAAGCTCAAGCTGCTTTCGCTAACTCACACCATCTCTGGCGTAGGCGTGACATCCGGCTATCAACCGAGGGACGTGTGTACTGCTCAGCAGTTCGCTCCGTCCTTCTCTATGGCTGGCTCTGAAACATGGCCAATACGAGTTGAAGACATGAAAAGGTTGACTGTTTTTGATCATAGATGTCTACGATCTCTTTCTCACGTTAGGTGGTGTAATAAGGTAAGTAATGTTGACGTTAGGCGTAGAGTGTTGGGCAAAGAGGGAAAATCAATCGACGAGACTATAAAGTTACATAGATTGAGATGGCTGGGTGATGTGCTGTGCATGCCTAACCATCGCCTCCCCCAACGGACGGGCATTACTAGCTGATATAGGTGCAGGTTGGAAAAGAGTAAGTGGTGGCCAAACAAAAACATGGCCTCATCAATCCATGAAATCCTTGACAATTAAACTGAGTCAGGTAGGGAGGGAGATGCAGACTTCCGAGTTCGGGCCAGCCCTCGGAACTCTAAGAATCAATCAATGGCTGGAGACACTAGGTGACATGGCTCAAACTCATCGTTGTCAATGGCTTACGCAGATGTATTCAGTCTCTGTAATCTTTCATATTCCTTTCTACCATTACTCATTCTGTTTCACTGTTATACTTGACAAAACTCTATTGATTCTCTTCACTCATCTTCTTGTCTACCTTTTTGTGTTATTTGGAACGTGGCAACTTGAACTGGTGCACTTTGGTGGTAAGTTCTATGTTGAATCCAGACAGATAGACAGATGAAGTGACTGGCTTAAATTGATCGTTCTCAATGACTGGCTGGCGTAGGTGGTGCATTCACTCTCTGTGACTTATCATATACAATAAAATTCTATTGTTCTTCCGTATTAATATTCTTGTTGCCTCATATTTCTGTTTATTATGTCTCTCTTTTGAATCTCTATTTGCTGTTTTCTGTTGCTTTGTGTGCTACGTTGAGGGAAAGTGTCAACTGGAACTGCTGCACATCTGTGCAAAGTTCTACATTGAAACCAGTCAGTCAATCAGTCAGTTTTCCTGGATAAGCAATTTAAAATGACATTTAAATCAATTAAGACAGACCAATAGGAGAAGAACTACATATAAGCAACTATAGCGTGATGATTAACGGGTGGTAGCTTACGTATCATAGACCACCTACATGATAGCTTAGAATTACCCCTGAAATGATGATCTGGTTAGGAGTTAGATCGCCTTGATAAAATACAGGACACGTAGTTCATTCGTAGACTGCTGGTCCGAATACTGCCGCCATCGAAATTTTCCCTTCATCACTTTCAATTATCTATCACCTATTGAAATGTGATGATACTCTCAACACAACCCCTGGCAATCCCATGCTCAGTTGGTTGCAATGAGCCATACCTATTGTGTGTGTGTATGTTCGGAGGTAAGTGATACGACTACTCCCTGGCTAGTTCCTCAAACGTCAATGGTTTGTGGAGCGGGATCCGAACCCTTAACTGCCACTGGTTCTAGTTGAAAGTCGAGAGAGAGGGCCTAGGCTAATGAACCGCAGTTCCATTAGGTTGGCAGACTATTTGTCGTTTAGTGTGTGTAGTAGTGGATTATTGAGGTAGAGCACTCGACTGCAATAACCTTGCTGACAGTCTGAAACGATCTCATGACTACTTGTCCAAACCTTGTTTTGGGGATAATTGTTTCCAATGTATTTATGATCCTTTGATTGGACACTAATAACTAGTGTGATGTGTCTAGTCCTTTATTTGGCACAGACTGAATTCTATCAGTCAGGTTCGAATCCCAGAGGGATTGGACATGAGTTCCTTCAAGGCGGTTGCAGATACGCCTTGCTGACTGGTGAGTGCCAACTAGCACGAAACCTAGGTCAAGCAAGTCTTCCTGTGGCCTATTGCCTCCAACCATCTAATATCATCAAATCAATGTGTGCACCGTGATGGCGAACTAGCTAGAATGGCGGCCACATTGCAAACCTTACTGATAGAATTCAGTCCACACCAAGCAAAGGACTAGACGCATCACACTAGTTACTGACTAGTGCCCAATCAAAAATATCCAATACAGTTCTATAGGAGGTCAGTCATGGGCCCCAATAGCTCAGTGATAACCTCTCTGTGTGCAGTCAGCACTGGGTGACGCGGGTTCGAATATCAGAGGGGTTGGACATGAGTTGTACCTTCAAGGCAGTTGCAGATGCGCCTTTCTGACTGATGAGTGCCAACTAGGACGAAACCTTGGTCAAGCAAGGACTCCTGTGACCGATTGCATCCAACCATCCAATGTATTTAATAATCTATTTGTTATATTTTCTCTATACTGATTATTTTCACTTTGTAGTTGATATGTTGGAAACAAACATCAAATGTGGATAATATCTGCGCGTCAACGTCAAATACTTATCATTTTCGTGTTGAAGGGAAACGTATCAACTGTTATACCCCGGGAATGTCAAAGTTATTAACATGAAAGAAGCGTTCTATGTATCTCTGTTAACTTTTATGTAAATATATTATTATTTTTGGTATTTCATAATCTTTTTGTTAAAATAGGAAAAATAAAGTGCGCATACTTGATGGAATTTTTGAAGTTTTTTTCTCTCCTTTGACATTTATGTACATATTGGTTGGAGGGTTTCATCATGAGCTGACATCAGTTAGTGAAAACCAGCTGTTTCGTCCTAGCTCTGGGACTCCATTTCATCAGTACGCATCCCCCCTGCCGACAGGGTTCGAACCGAGGACCTTCTGGTTACAAGTCGAAGAAGACATTGCAAAGTGGTCGTGAATTGGCAGAAGTTAGAATTCATGAACTGGCCATTGGATCGGATCTCAGTGGCTTAATAGTCTACGAACTCGCTAGCCGTGTAACCAGGCCTTGGGTTCGAACCCTGGTGGTGGGTGCGTACAGGTGAAGAGTCCCAAAATAAGGACGAGACAGATGGCTGTCCAGTACTTCCTGCAGGTTTTCCGATTGTTCTTTAACTGATGTCAGCTGATGATGAGATCCTCCAACCCATCAAACAGAATCCCTACAAAGTCAATACTCGTGTTGATGGCACAGTGGTTTGGACGCCCACCGACCATGCGCATGACTCGGAGTTCGATCACCGGCTGACTCATACCTGATATAAATAGTTAGCCTGCTAAATTTGGCCTACCGATATTACATGCTGAAAATTCCATACTTGTACCAAAATACTGTGTGGAATCAAGCTATAATAAAATAAAATAAATGTTATTATGTCACCACTTTCATATTCCGTAATAACAGAAATATTGAAATAGGATAAGGGAGCCTATGCCGGACACAGATGTGCTGATTACGAATAACGCTTGCTTACTCCAACAACATTAGTCGATAGCTGCCTGTTTACCCATCCCCTCTCTACTTAAGTTGAGACACTCAATGACATCACCCGAAGTGTATTTATCACTTGTGAAAAATTACATTTATAAAATCTCAGCGAGATTGAAATGAGTAATTCCAACGTTTCGTTCGGCAATCTGGTCTTCCAGTGTAATGTCGGATTATAATCATGTTGTGTGTGTGTGTGTGTGTAGTTTCACTGCAGCAAAAGTGGTGGTAAAGGCAGGGATAGTTGATCGACACTTCCAATACACCATGAACAAGTACATGAAGTGCTATTGTTTCTGGTGAATCAACTTATTTTTTTGCTAGATATGATCTTGAATAAAAAAGCAGGTCATTAGAAGTGTGGTAGTTGCTCCTTATATTTAGTCAATAACCTCTCCATGCTATAACAGTGTAAAACTAGATCAGATCATAATCATCCCCTCAAAGACATCTTTTAATAAATCAATCTCCAGATGACTCATTCTTTATTCCATTCAACTAGACAATGTGAAAACAACAGTGTGGATAGATAACCCCTTTGTCAACGCGCTTGTGCAGAGTTGAGACACCATATGTGACAGAGAAAAAGAAAATCTGGATCTAAAAAAAATTCAACAAGAAGCTACGTCATCCTGTAACTGTATAGAATGCCCATTAGCCACGGCGAGAGGTCCAGGTCCAATTCCCTGGCTATTATTTATTATATTATTGTTTCCTTTAGTTCTTTAAGGAACATAGGACTTCAGCCGAACGTCTCCATTGCGTTGGGTTCTCCGCCAAGGTTTTCTTCACTTGGCTCCACGCCTGCCCACATGCCTTCATCTCCTATTCGCATGACCTCTTCCACCCGAGCAGTGGCCTGGCGTGTGATCTCACTCACTTGATGGTTTGTTTTCTAAGAATATGTCCAATCCACCTTCATTTTTCCCTGCATATCTGTTGCACAATTGCTTCCTTCTGGGTTGGTTGGTTGCTGCCAGAGATCACCCATTATTTCTGATGTTTTCTGGCCGGTCATCTGATCTTCAGTAGTATTGTGTGAGGGCAGCTGTTGATGAAGGTGTGTTGTCTGTTCGAAGTGGCCTTCGTGACATGGCGCAGAGCCAAGTCTCTAGTCCGTATAGTAAGTAGCACTGACTAAATTTCACATTGGAGATGAAAATCAGGATCTCATTTTTCATGCTGAGTGTTGATCTCCACACATACTTGAGAGTAATGAAAGCTTGACTTGCTTTTCTAATCCTCACCTTGATATTCTCATCAGTTCCCTCTGCCTGTAGTTGAAACGATGCTTCCCAGGTAGGTAAAGGAGGTTGCTTCCTGCAGATTTCCCCAATTTATGCTAGCTGATTGTTGTTGCTGTTGGGATTTCCAGGCCAACTCACGCCTAAAACTAACCTAGCCAATAGTAAGCCTAAAAAGAACACAATTGGGATGTGAGATTATCAACTCCACCATTTAAAAGTAACACTACACTAATTAAACTTCAAATCTTGAAATCCTGACTTCCACTTGGATGATGCTGAGAAATGAAAAATGTATAGTTCACGTCCTTTCTCACAGAATCACTTAGTCTGTGCTGTCGACTATACCATATTAACAAAAGGAGAATGTCTACCTATACTATCACTGTGGTTAGAGTTGCCTGCGAACAAGCCAAAATTGTAAACAACAATTGACGTCAATGTTCACGTCTCGAATCAGGGTCACGAGAGAAAAAACCCAAAAACAAAGCTTAACCTTGAGGAACTCAACAACCAATCACAGCACACTTAACGTGTGCAAATACGATTCACAGACATGGCTTAACTTTCTGAGAAACGGTCACAAGCAATACAGAATAACCTTCAGCGAGAAAACAACCAATCAAAAGACGTTGCTTCTCTGCTAACAATAACAATAAAAATCTATAAATATCTGTTGATTTTCTCAATTATTATTATTATTATTGTTTCCTTTAATTCCTAGAGGAACATAGGGCTTCAGCCGTGTGTCTTCATTGCGTTCGGTTCTCTGCTAGAGTCTTCACCTGGCTCCAAGTCTGCTCACACGTTTTCATCTCCTCTTCACATGACCTCCTCCAAGTCACCCTTGCACTGACGACCAACTCGTCGCTTCCCTTTCGGGTTCCACTCGAGCAATGGCTTGTCTAGTCATGTCACTTGATGGCTTGTTTCCTCAGAGTATGACCAATCCATCTCCGTTTCTTCCTGCCTATTTGTTTCACAATCGGGTCCTGCTCTGTTGGTTCGCTCCCATAGATCTCTATTGCTGATCTTTTCTGGCGAAGGCAACTGTTGATGAAGGTCTGTAGTTTGTTTGAGATGCTCTTTATGACGCGCAGTGCAAGTTTCTTATCCGTACAGTAAGTAGCACTGACTGACTTCACATTGGAGTTGAAAATCCGGATCTGTGTCCTGCCCCTTGTCTTCTGTCGTCGCACTACTACTAAAGTCACTATTCTTTCTTTATTCCAACTTATCGAGGTTATATGCTAACGGCTCGAATTCCGTTCCACCTACTTCAACTGGCTAGTAACATAAGCGCTGACACGTTAAGTGTGACTCACTGTCTGGCACATGAAAAAAACAACACCTGTTACAAGTGAGTAAATTCTGAGTACTTTTCATTTATTAGTAATACATGTTCACTGAGCTATCGCCTTTTATCAATCAATTTTATACTGAATCAACCATAGTAGTCACCCAGGGACTTCATCTGTGATACCGTTGTGATGCTAATCGCTATCATAAAGACTTCAAACGGTTAGTTAATGTATCGATTACCATCTAGTCAGTTTGAAAAGCAGATTTAAGTTTCAAGGACGAAGTTACTTTGTTTATATCAACTTCTAATATTCCTCTAAGTTCATTAAACGAATTGTTTAAATTAAAAATGATTGATCGTTCATGTGGGTGATATTTGTATTCACTGAGCCGGATAGTTTAATTATTAGGCTTTCACACTGTCTTCCCGGGAAACGTCTTCAGCAGTAACATCCATATGAAGTAGGCTTTTAGAACAAATATTTCTCTCAAGTCTAATAACGGTGTCTCCTGGTGACCCTAAGCATGACTTATTGTTTCCGGAGATTCTCTCAACTTTTTATCCATCTGTATTGGTGCTATTGACTATTTTATTGATCTTATGTCCATGTGACTTCATTTTTATTGTTTGATAAATCTGTTCTACTTTAATGTATGAGTAAAGAAAAATATCCAATACAGTTCTATAGGAGGTCACTCGCTAGTCAGCCTGAATAGCTCAGTGGTAACGTTTCTGACTACAGAATCAGCTATCGACCAAACGGCGTGTGTACTACTGAGCAGTCCGCTACGTCCTCCTTTATCACTCTAAGTGGAGCATGGTCACTAGAAAATGGAAGACATGAAAATGCCGGCTAGCTGTTTTTGGTGTTAGGTGTTATAACAGTGTGAGTAATATTGAGTTGAAGTATCGGTCAAGTGCTAGGTATGGAGGGAGAGTTAATCGATGAGGTTGTGAAGCAGCTTCACCGATTGAGAGAGATGGTTAGGACATGTGTTACGCATGCATTCCTAGACATTCATCGCCTTCCTCGACAATGCTAGCTAACATAGGATCAGGTTGGACAGGAGGTAGCACACGGTGGTTAAACCAAAACATGGCCTCATCAATCAGTTGAAGCAGACCAGTATGCGACATATGGAGGTGTAGACTTCCTGACTGGCTGGCGTCCTCGGAATGGTAAAAACCAGTGACAGTGGCTGGAGACAATCGGTGATATGGCTGGCTCAAAGAGATCGTTCTCAATGGCTGGTTGGTGCAGATGCATTCACTCTTTTTGGTTTATAATATCAAATAAAACTCTATTGTTCTTCCATATTATTATTCTTTTTGGTGTTTCTTTTCAATCTCCCCTGTCCTGCTTTGTGTGATACATGGAGGGAGTGTGGCAGCTGGAACTGATACACATCTGTGCTAAGTTCTATGTTGAACCGAGTCAGTCAGTAGAACTGGGTGACGCCGGTTCGAACCTCAGAAGGGATATGAGTTCCTTCGAGGTTGCAGATATGCCTTGCTGATTACTGAGTGCCAAGTAGCACGACACTTAGGTGCAAGGCTTCCTCCCGACTGCCTCTAACCATCTAATGTATGAGTGTGTTGATCGCAGATTCATCTAATTAAGCATCAGGCTTCCAGAAATTCC